ACATCACAGTCTTATCTCTAATATTCAAATTCCTAAATATCCAACATATCATTTGGTTAGCCTTAGATAATAGATATAGATGCTTTTATCTGCTCATCCCATTTCCATGACATATGTGTAACAACACCCAAGTCCTTCTCCTGTTATATTGCTTACAAAGCTTCAGAACTTTGTGATTTTGACCAATTTGCCCGACCCAACATCTGATTGATGATTCGTAGCTGGGCCGGCGGATGAGGTGTACACAAAGCCTTGTAGCAAAAAATCGGAGTATGTGATTGTTAACTATCAAAATTAAATTCTGTGCCAACTCTTGGCGCTTATTACATTTACTCTCACAACGCGGTGTTATTTGATAGGATCAATGCACTCTAGTAGCAGAGTAACTAGTAACTAGAGTAATGTCATCTGATAGCTTGATTATATCGATAAAATTAATTTTAAAGGACGCTTCCAAAGAACATCCCCCATTTCGGTTCAATTATTGGGCCCTTACTCATGTTTTTAAATGAACCCCGCGGGTTTCTCTTAGTCACTCAGTACTTTGGAACAGTATATACAGTATTTACTTAAAAAAAAACAAAAAGTTGTAAGTTAGTCGAACTAAAATAGTAAAATATGACCCTCACAATTTTATTCCAGTTTCCGGAAGTTTTTGCCAGTTTTAGGTCAATTTAGTAAATGATGTGTTTTAATCACGACTAAATTTAAATAGCACCAGCCACATTTAGGTTACATCGTGGAATTTCACCGTGGAATTTCATTGAGCTGCGTCGTGCCCGATGTGACCAAATTTGTACACAAATTTGACCCTAATTAACACTTAAATCTCATTAAATGTAATGCTTGGCAGACCAACAAATTATCATTATCAATAAAAAACATATTAACAATTCTGTCTTCCTAAATGATAACCCACTGGGATGAAGGAGATCAAATTTCTGACAGTTACCCCCTCTTTTTGACAACCGTGTTAGTATGAGCTCCAGAAACTTCTCTAGTGTTTTTATATGAAGTGATTTTTAGTCTTTCATCTTTATTTTTGTGAAAAGTTACCTGAAGCCAAAACGCCAAACATTTTAAATTTCGAATTTCCCATACTTTTGCACCGTGCAGGCAGGAACAGTTAAGTAGCGTTTTAATCAGTTTAAACAATAAAGCAAAACCCCGATTTTCCGTGGCCATGTAAACAATCAAAATGCCGATTTTGGATTTACCGCAGACCCCGATTGGCCGATTTACTGCGTTTCTTATCTTTCTCCCAAACTCCGTGGTAAATCGGGGTTTTGCTGTACTTGATTGTTTTACTTGCTGTTTTACATGCTATTTTACACGCTTCACCTCGCGTGGACAAGTGAGAAACCTGGGGGATTTTACTATCTTTTTTATCTGTTATATAATAGTGTAGTTGTATATTTTGGTCTTCAAATCGGCCCGTGGCCTCCAGGCAACCGTGAGATTTCGATAAAATCTGACAAAGGGGAGGAGGTTTAAAGACTCTATAGTCTACAACGTTACAAAAATCTTTATTAGTACTTACGCTTTCTTGAAAATCTGTGAGGTAGATAAGTGAGACATAATCGTTTACTTCTTATTTAATAAAATAGGTATTACATATTTTTGGCCATTTTACATGAACTCTTACACATTACCTTAACTGGGAATATACATGCATTCTGGAGTTTAAATGACCACTTTCGTCTCCACCCAGCCGCTTTGAAGTCGGCAATTTTTTATTTTTAATAAAATTGGTTGTTGATATAAATGCTTCATCTCATTTCATTTCATATTAAATCATTGAAATTAGGTTTGGCCACTATGCAGCCTCAAATCTTAATACAGCCGTATAGAGGCCGTAAAGTGGCCGTATAGTGGCCTAACCTTATCTCCAAATTTTCCTTAAATATTTGCGAGAGCCATGTGTTTTATATCATATCCTTCTGAAAGCTATACCGTTAAAATATACCCATATTATTTGCAGTCGGCTTCAAAGTCACTCTGACATTTAAAATGCCACTTAATGACCGATAAGAAGAAGTTGTAGGACATCATGTCATCTGTATCTGACAAATGGAACCCACTGATTCTTGTACCAACTATGGTCATAGGAGACTAAGGAATATATACATTAGTAAATAAGTTACATACTAATACATAATAAATTACCATATATAACACCACTATATCTGCCTAATCTCAGTTATTGTCAATAACGAAGCCTGTGATCCGCACATCAGTCATTGAATGGGCTTGAATTGAACGTCGTGTTATTACTATAAAAAATATCATAGTATCGGGTAAATTTTTTCAAAATGCACTTGAATGTCATCAATTTGATTAAGTTATCATAAGTTGAATAGCTGGCGCATTTACAGTGCTACGTTTTTAATTATTCTACGAACACTTGGAATTAAAATCTATTTATATATATATATATTGCATTGTTTAATACTTATAATCAAGATTGCTAAGTTCAGTGTGTGGACGAAGTATAGCGATGGAATCACTAACATATTTATGACTGTTTGATATTTCTTTGCTGCAGTCTGCATATCATCCAGAGAAAGCTAATTTTAAAGAAGTAGTCTCGAAATAATCTATCAGTCTTATCCGCTCCCAGTATCTTATCTTAATATAACTTACTGTAATGGATCAGGAACATGGGAATCAGGTACATGGTGATCGTCTGCAGCACGATCTCTACCAAGAAGGAACTCCTTGTCCAAGAAGGAGTCAAAATTTTCAATCGTTTCCCTTTTCCGCATGTTCTTACGCTTTTTCAATTTGTCGTAGAGGCCCTTGATCTTCCTGAATTATAATTACATTAATATTGTCATTTCAAAATAAAATGAAAACGATTTTTCTTACCTTGTTGCCAGAACTAAAAGGGCTGTCATTGCTAGATGAATATCATGAGATCACTGACGGGATCATCGTCGACGTGGCTGGATCGGCAATATACTGCAGCCAGTCTCGTGTGAAATATTGCTCTGGCCAGCATGAAGTGCAGTCTTTGCTCAATTAAATGTAGAAAGTTTCTAAATTACATTAATATAAGAGAAACTAAGTGCCTAATATAAATATGCATACAGTACAACTACAGATTGTTCATGAAACATTGGTCATTGGTTTGGTTTCAAACATCTGTAGATTAATTTATGAAAGATCGATCGGCTATATTTCTCTTATTTTCCCCCAGCAGAAAATATATGTTTGAAACCGGACTGATGTATCGTGAACAACCTGTGCTGTAGGGTAAATACCTAAAAAACACTAGCACTCACTTGACAATATTGCAAGGCTGAAAGAAGTTCGTTTGCCTGTACATTTCGATGGTACTGTAATGACTTAATATCAAACTTGAAACCTCGGCCAGCATTAAATCGACATGAGTCGCATGGTTTTCCTTGTGGCTCAAAAGAAAACGAAGGATGTCCTTGTTTGACGGAGGGCTGTGACATGGAAGGCTGTCACACGTTCCATCAATAAAATCGGACAATTTCATTGCAATATTGAGAAAACTATTTGAGAAATGATCACTATTCATATAGCGGTGTTACATTGATTTTAGTTACGTTGCAATTTTACTCGACTCTTATCAGTTCACTTCTTATCAGCGCGATCGCAGTAAGTTTTACTGTGTGCAACAGTTACATAACTGTAACTGTATAATACACATAACATTAACTCTGTAATGCACTTCAAACTGCAGTATAAAGAGTACGCACATCGCACAAATGACAAGAAGGTAATCTAGTAATACGATTTTTGGTATTAATATCTTTAATATTAATAACACGGCTTGTTCGATTCAAGCCCGTTCAATGTGGTCAATACCTGATGTGCGGATCACAGGCTTCGTTATTTACAATAGCTGAGATTAGGCAGATATAGCGGTTCCAGTCGTTACCTGGGGACCCCAGGCTGTAATATCCAGATAAATTGAAGCTGCGGCGGAATGACAATCTGGGATGAGTGCGGCCCAGGAATGCCAGCCGTTACGCCGCTCAGCTTAATGTAAAAACTGTATTACAATTGATAGCATCATTACAATTTCAATCACGTTTTAGAGCAATTTACACGAGAGTAGGACAATTATAACCTGTTTAATCTTGTTCGGCGTCATCGAAAACATAGGGTTACAAGGTTTCCGCTTCGATTTCCATCAATAAAAAATCCTTCTAATTTCGATTCTCTGGGCCAGCTGTCTGCTGGGTTTCAGAAGGTGGTACCAGATGCTGCTATAATTGAGCGCTCAGCTGCTCTAATTGGGTCCAATTACACCCGATACACGATATTATTCCATATAAGGCCTGATCAAGTAGCTTCAGCTCTGGTGACGTCACAAAATCTCCTAGTCGGCATACGACACGTTACGAATGTGATCACGTGCCCGAGGCTTTACGAATCAAGGTCACGTGATAGGATTAGCGGTCACGTGATAGGACTGAATGTCACATGACCTCAGTTATCCCTTATATGGCACAACTAGCTGCAATTGATCAGCTCTTAATTAGGCTGAAATCCTTGACAGGCCTATAATTACCCAATTTTAAATGAACGATATCTCATCCTACAGAATGATGAGAGCGTAAACAAAATGCTTCCCGGAATCAGCACAATGCAGGGAACAAGATGCTGTTGGAATATCAATTATTCATCTTCCACCCGTAGTCCCTATAGGACATGGAACAAGCCAAACTCACATTTTTCGTAATGCAATATTTCGTAGAATATGGTATAATTGATAACCACTATTTCTCCTGTTAGCTACCGTCAGTATTCGGACTACTTAAATTTTAAAGTAGTTCGGACTATTACTGTAGGTGCCACTACTAGTCCAGCTTACAAATTACGTATGTATATTTAATATTTATACTTACAATAAATACATTCTTGTGTAAATTTGTATTGATCCCGTTTGATGCGACAAGAAAAAATGCTCTTATCAGGAAAGGAATTACTCAACGTTTCAATGTTACAACATCGTATTCATGATATCAAATTATTTGTTATATAGTAGTGTTGAAAGTATTAAAACCATGTGATTCATAAACAATATTCCAATCCGGATTTTACATTAAATAAGTATATTGCCCCCTTTGACCCATTGTTCTTGTCAATCTGTGTGAGTGTCTAGCTCAGTGTCTGTCAAAAAACGTCATTTCACCGGTCATAACCTTTGACAGGTACAACGTGTAACCGAGATCCCCTTATTTGCGTTTAAAAAATCGATTGTAAACGGTTTAAAAAAAAAAAAGCGCCGAGAAAGCGCCCAATAAGCGATTATTGGCGCCGATCATAAAATATCCTTTATGGAAACTTGCCCGATCTTGTTTTAGTAGTTTCTTTACTTATTTTGTTGTTTTAGTTTTCAGCACACGAACATCTTACATCTACTATGCATTCTAAAATAACCAACAATAACAGATTCAATCGTTTGGACAGATAAAATTAACTGATAACAGACTGCCAGAAATTATTTTGTATACTCTAAATTCTAAACCTAAGAGCTATCATTTTACAGCGTCACGAAAATATTACCGAGACCAGAAACTCATTTTGCGCAAATTCTAAACATTTTAAAAGTAAGAAAAAGTTTTTACCTTAAACATGGCCAACAATAACTCAATACGGGTATATGGCCCCCAGAATATAGGTCGTTTTTTGAGCACTTAGAAACAGGTGTTAAAACTACTTCTAAGCATGTTTAGGGCTGTAAATATGTACATAATAACCCTTTAAATGTTTCTTGGGTAGTTGAAAATAATTATTAGGTTTTTAAGTGTACTTTTTTTTCACCTGTAAAAATACCATTTTTTAACAGGGCCCCCAGAATATAGGTCCAAACATCTGTTCCTAAGTTGTTCTAAAATTGTCACAGACAGTTATATGCAGTCAGAATATGTTGCTGAGACTGTATTGATGATGCCAATGGCTCCAGATACTAAATTGAAAAGGTTTAGAGTATACTTAATAGCAAAAAATCAAAAACTACGGCCCCCAGAATATAGGTATGCAAAAATCGTCCTCAAATACTCCACCTTCATACATTTTGATGATGCCATCTCTTCAGCATATGTTCTTTAACTGTTTCTCATCACTACCCCACATTCCTTAATGCTCAGGGTGACAGAGAAAATGCAGAATCTTGGTCGCTATTTTTTTTAAAAACCTATATTCTGGGGGCCATATACCCGTAATGAGTAAAATCTTTAATTTTACTTGTTAAAAAGCTTTCATGCACTCATTTAGTAGGGATCTTAACTAAATACTTAAATAAGATTGAAGGAGTGTCCCTAGATATGATTGAGGGGGGCTGTTTTTATCTGTATCAATACAATGTGCACCTCAATGACTGTAAATCAGACATTTTTGGCCGCCAAATTTTTTTAAAGGCCTAACTCAAAATTCTGTCCCAAAACTTAAGGTCATGAGACAATTCTACGTTGATTCTGAAAATTTCATGTGAAAATATTGAAACCCTATTGAGTTCTATTGTTTTGAGCGAAGTCAGTTTGAGATATGGGCGATTTTGTTCATTTTTTGCGATTATTTGAACACAGAATCCACAGTTAGGTAGATATTGAGCTGATAATCATAGAGAATGTGTAATATATGCTTACCTTCCATATAAAGTTGGTTTCATTCAAAAATATTGATATTAGACCAATTTATGGACCAAAATCGATCAAATTTGGTGCGTATGCCCAAATATGGGCATATGGTTTTTGTTTTTATCCCATAACTCGGCCAATTTTTATCCAATTTTGATAAAACTTGATATGTGGGTTCAGGAGACTAGTAGCTACAAGTAGAGCATCCCAAAGCATGGTTTTGGGCATGTTCAGGGTTTTTGACCAACCTATATTCTGGGGGTCGTATAGACCTATATTCTGGGGGCCCGTAAAATTGTGGTGGCCATAACTTTTTTCCAAATTGTCAGTTTGCAGATGTCTCGATGAAAAGATAGCTTAAAATAATACTTATACTCATACCAGTAGTCTTAATGGCATGTGTTGGACAGATTTTTGTCATGACAATTTTTCGCGATATTTACCCCTCTAGAAAATGACAACATCGTTTAAATCTTTCGCTGTCATGACCAAATATACCAAAATACCTCATGTAGGTCCAAAATTTTTATCCAGAAAGATAAGTTACATGTTTTACTCCAACCTAGCAGTAACAGATCCCATTAGTATCGCTTATCTTGGTTAGAACTGTATCCACTAACATGACCTATATTTTGGGGGCCACCTATATTCTGGGGGCCATATACCCGTAAGTCTAATGTAATTGTACCAACGACAAGACAGTTGAGCTACATCATCCTGTCCGATCGATTGCATTACTTGAAGTGGGTGCGATCTGTGGATTTAGTGATTTACATAATATGCAATAAATAATGAAAATTATTAAATTTCATTTGTGATTCAAAAATGTTCAATTAAAAACTGAATTTACAAAACTTTGAATATCCCTCGTAAATATCCCTTTTACCGGCCAGTCGCAGTTTTATATTTAGTATCGTTTCTAAGAAAGATATCCGTGACAAGACAAAAGTAATTTGCCTTTCTAGGAAATACTTTGGATTTAAAACAAAAAATATTCCTTGAAGTTGAAAAGATCAGTTTTCGAGTCGGTGCACGATTTATTGTACATGTGGTCAAATCATAGTTTTACCATACGGCAATTTTGTGATAAAAATTTTACAATATTTTTTTAAAACATAAAAAATGTGGGTAGATTGGCAGATGGGATCCTGTATATTTTGTATCTTTGAGTTTAATCTAATAGTGTGTACGTAGGCAATGTTACCCGCTCGATCTTATTCATTGTATTCTTCAAAACAATCTGCTGCAATTCGCAAAATTGGTTTTTTTTTTTAATTGCTTTAACTCCCAAACATAACGACGTTTAGTGTTTTAACTTACGATACAGATTTATTTTATCTTACAAACGTCACACTCTTCAATTGGTCAAAACTTTAGCTTTGTCAAATCGCAGCTTGGTGCACATCTGTGGAATTCTTCTGAAAGCCTTCGTTGATTGTTTGATCAATGGTTTCTGTTATAGCTAATTATAGCTAATTATAGCTAATTATAGCTAATTATAGACTGTCAGCCAGCAGCTTTGAAAGGTGTGCTGAAGCTTTTCATTCTTAATTTGATCATTCGCAGACAAATTGTCACTCCTCAAGTTTTGCAATTGCATCAACATCTGCGGTGCCAAAGTTTTGACCGTCTGTCAGACTCTAACCTGATCTTGAAGTGACGTACGACAACTCGTTTACCCAATCAATGGCTGGAAAGATGGACATTTTCACATGCCGATGACTTATTTTTCTTAAAGAGTTGTGCGAGATCTGACGATACGTAGAGGCCGCAGAATTATATTTATGAGGACTACCAGATCCTGGTGGAAGCTAAGTGATCCATGATATCATAACAGGCCCTACTGTTAGAGGGCTGTAAGGGATCGTTCACATATTAACCTCCCTCCCCCCTCCTTAATCAATTTTACACATATAGCTATATTGTGTCAAAATTATACTAGGGTAATCATTTGGAAACCCCCCCCCCCCTCTCGGCTGATTACGTAATATGTGAACGAACCCTAAGAAGTAAAAAGGGCTGTTAGAAATTCAATTGAAATGGCCATTAGCCGGCTGTTAGAGGGCTGTTGCTGTTAGGTATTTAATTAAATTTCGTTTCTTATCAATTTTCAGTCATGGCTTTTTCACCATCGCTTTCGTGGAAACAGTATATTCAGCTTCCTATTTCGCTATTAAGTTTCTTACAAATTTTCCGACAATTTAATTATATATTTTTTGCAGTCGGGTAAGTTCTGTTTCGCAGAAGTTGGACAAATTAATTAGACCAGGGTGAACACTACGCAACTGTTTCCGTTACCGGCCTTATTAAATTGTGAGCAGCTCAAATTGTGAACAGTACAGGGCATTTTGCTTAAATAGCCGTCAAAATAAATAATAGCCGATATGGTAGATATTTTACTTCATTTGACTGAAAAAGATACCATATTTGGATCAAAGAACATCTGCCTCTGCGGGTGGGCTATTGTAGAACTAGAAGTCTGCGGTGTGTAAGATTCTACAGGATTTCAAAATATCTTAATGCATGTTGATTAAAGTTCCTGGCAAATCATATTTCTTTTTGTTTAATTCGAGAAGAGCAATCGGTAACGATATCTTCGAAAGCTGTAGTTAACTGAGAAATTGTTTATAATAGCTGATAGTTGGTTGTTTAAGTTGAGGACACATTCTATGTACAACGTATTTGTGGGTTTGTATAACAGAAGAAAGTTATTATAACTTTATAAATACAATTACTTCCATCACTGTCAGTGTTAGTGGTTGTTATTTGTTTTTGGTCCCCTAGGAAACTAGAATGTGACTAATTACTGTGCACTTTTCAAAATTTCATCACGACAATTTCACAGAATGTGTTGCCGCAGAATCCCAAAATTTAGGCAAGAATAATAAATTTTGGAACAAGATTTGTCAGTTGCCATTAGAGATTCACCTGTTACCGGTAATGGAAAGGCGAGCAAGGCTTCAAGAAACTATGCAAATTTAGTTTCTAACCATGTTCATTTTTTGTTGGCTAGAGATGTAATTTTATCTACGAAGATATCACCTACTTGATGCCGTATCATTGCTTATCCAATTTAACAACAAATTTAGTGAAATAGATCTAAAGATCTCTGTTCTGTAATGCATTTGTAAGATACTGGAGTTCAATACATCGTCCTTCCTTCGACATAAACTAATTTGTCATATCAGCTACGGCTTATGCAATACTGGTAATTTATGAAATTACGACGAAGACACAAAAAGTAAACAATACCACTTATAGACAGCACGTACAGCGTCACTCAGCAATACGTAAAGATTCTGTATTTGATCCTGGCTATATCAAGGACTCTATATGGCGTACTGCAGTATACGAGATGGAGTCCTACTCCTAGCTAGACGGCACATAACGCATCTCGGTAATCAATTACGCGTTACGTCACGTTATGAGCAAGAATTGATTCGAGGCAGACAGAAAATACGAAAAAACAACATCATGTTTTAATACCGAAGTTAAACATCACGTTTTACCCCAACTACTAGTCTGAGACGGCACGTAACTTACGTGCCGTCTCAGTCTAGAAGTTGGGGTAAAACGTGATGTTTAACATCGGTTAACGTGATATGTTTCGATTTTTCGAAGAAAATTGTCAACATTTACTGGAAATCAGGAAATGTTAGTTTATGAAAATGTCATGAAAATTTTATAAAATAATGAATAAATTGTTTTATTTCCTCGTTGGCTATCGGCTGCTTTCACTGATATAATATAGTTTATTGATTCTTTAGTGCGGATTAATAATATTTTATATTTAATGTGAAAGATCAATCATGATAATAATATTTATTGGTATTCAGGTATTGTTTGAACATACGCTTATCAATATATAAATTTATGGCTCATGGCACCACGTCTCGAGTTAACAACTACATAGTTAAAATGTCTATTTCATTAAATATGTCTACATCACGTGGAATTTATAAGACTAGCCTGTGGAAACAGACGATTATCGTAAAAGTAATAATGCAAGGTTTTACAACATAAATAATAATATCGAAAGCGCCCTAGATGTAGGATTTTTTAAACAGAACAATTTAAGTGAGCAGAACTACCATACTTTAGCTTTAACAGCCATAATATAACCAAGTTAACTGCAGTACCCAATATGGTACTAATATGTCGTCATTTTAAACACACGTCTGATCGTAAGGTATTTCCTCTTTTTCCGTGACGCATACTTATTACTTAAACATTTGTTTAAGAGGGTTAGTCCTACTTCTCGTAGGACTAACCCCCCTACCAGGGACAAGAGTGGCTTAGGGTTACTGAAAAGGAGATAAGCACCTCAGGCCATCCCAACGTTCGGGAGAGACCTGCCCTTGTATCTTGTTGTTGTACTTAAACATTTGTTTAGATATCTTTGATAATCATTTTTTATTTTGTTTTTACGTACTAGTTCGTTATTGACTCTAAAATAATTAGATATGAATTTAGGAGAGCCACTCTCATCACATCTGCAATCCTATATTAATATAGCCTCAATATCTATGGTGTATATTATATGTGATATGAGTGGAACATAATTGCCTTTTTTCATTTCATTTTATTTACATCACATGAAACTGGTCCGTAGTCCCCGAGCATATTGTCAGAAACCTTATATAAGGGACAGTACATTTTATCAATGGGTTAGATCTTATGGACCGTCTCTCGCAGTCATTCACCCTTTTTATTCAGTGCTGATTTCTAGCGAAGATATGATGTGTGACATATTTATTCGTTGCTATTTCCTGTATCTACTTGGAACGGCATCCTCGGCCTCCGTAAGTCATAAATGTTTTTTTATGCACTAAAGTGTTAAATTATAATAGATAGTCCAAAATAATTTAGCTCTTGCAACTTAGCCTTTTATATAAAATTGAGCTGTATATAATACCGATTAATTAAAATTTAGGGGTCGAAATAAGAAATAAGGAAAGCAGAAAGATAAAACTACTTGTCGCGATCGCTGATTTTAAAGTCTTTTAATTTTAACAAGAATTGCGCCCGTTTTTTTCGATGTGGCCGTTCGCTGGATTTCCTTTCACTATAACAAGCTCAGTTAACTTCAGAATCATTATGCTTTAAATACGGGAAACACTTGTGATCCAATTCAATTGCCGTAGAACTTAACTTTTATCTGTAATTTAAGAAATTGGGGGGGGGGGGGGGGGGGGGGGGCAATCATATTAAAGTATATTAAAGTATATCCCCGGGTCAAAATCGGAAAAAATCCTACATTTTAATATACTTTAATATACCTACAATTAGAAGATTTATATTCTTCGTTAAGATTTACATGATGAACTATATTTTTCACTCAGATTCGCAAGTTAAGCCTGTTTTAGGACTAGTACATGAATTTCCATCCAGATTGGTCAAAAATTGGCTGAGCTATGAGCTTTAAAAAATATGCCCATATTTGGGCATACGCTTTTGCCCAAATTCGCTTTTGCCCAAATTCGATAAAATTTCAATATTTTTTAATGAGACTAACTCTATGTGAAAGATATAACTCAGTGTTTGTTGAATATAGTGGATACTAAGTAAAATGACCTCCATGAACAAAATTGGGAAAATTGCACATAATATCTCGGTTCGGAATACTAGCCAAAATGACTTCATTAAAATTGAAATAACTCCATCAGTTTTCAATATTTTTTCAAGAACTTTTTGGAATCGATTAAGAATTGCATTTCAAGCTTATTTTGGGCAACAATTTTTGATGTAGGCCTCCAAGGAGATAGGGATATATTAAAGTATATTAAAGTATATTAAAGTATATTAAAGTATATCCCCGGGTCAAAATCGGGAAAAATCCTACATTTTAATATACTTTAATATACCTACAATTAGAAGATTTATATTCTTCGTTAAGATTTACATGATGAACTATATTTTTCACTCAGATTCGCAAGTTAAGCCTGTTTTAGGACTAGTACATGAATTTCCATCCAGATTGGTCAAAAATTGGCTGAGCTATGAGCTTTAAAAAATATGCCCATATTTGGGCATACGCTTTTGCCCAAATTCGCTTTTGCCCAAATTCGATAAAATTTCAATATTTTTTAATGAGACTAACTCTATGTGAAAGATATAACTCAGTGTTTGTTGAATATAGTGGATACTAAGTAAAATGACCTCCATGAACAAAATTGGGAAAATTGCACATAATATCTCGGTTCGGAATACTAGCCAAAATGACTTCATTAAAATTGAAATAACTCCATCAGTTTTCAATATTTTTTCAAGAACTTTTTGGAATCGATTAAGAATTGCATTTCAAGCTTATTTTGGGCAACAATTTTTGATGTAGGCCTCCAAGGAGATAGGGATATATTAAAGTATATTAAAGTATATTAAAGTATATTAAAGTATATCCCCGGGTCAAAATCGGGAAAAATCCTAGATTTTAATATACTTTAATATGGTTGGCCCCCCCCCCCCCCCAAATTGGAAGCAAAAACTGAACTATACTGATGTTTTATACAGTATACACATCAGTACGCTACAAGCGTCACGTACAAATTAGGCTTATTTCATAACACATTAAAATACACGCGCGCCGCGCATGCACTGACTACGTGCTATACAAGTACAAATCTCCGCAAGCAACCCTCGTGCACATGTCAAAGTGTGATTAACGGAAACGAAATCGAAATCCGTCTTCCCCGATCTCCAAAATCCCTCTTTTTCTGAAAAAAAACGTCCATTCGTAACCTTTCATTTAACATTTTTGCTTCGCAAAAATGTTGAACGGAAAAATTCATTTCTGACTCAGAATTCAGCTCCATTCAAAGACCTAACTACGGGTATATGCCTCACAGAATGGCCAAAAAAAAGGAAGGTCTCTCAAAATCACAAAACACACTTTATTCCAGTTTTTATCTCATAAGAAGCTAAGTTGACACTCATATTTTTCTTCCCGGGGGTTGATTTAATCTCATAACCATTTTTTCTTTGAGAAAAATTGGCCGGAAAATCTTCCTCCAAAAAAACATGCCTCACAGAATGGCCAAATCTGAATTTCTATAATTTTTTGATGGAGATACCCTTTAAATTTCTATCACCACACGTTGTTAGAAAACCTATTAAGGAATAGGGTAATAACCTAAAACTCACGAAAAAACTGAGCTGTGAAAAATTATTTCACAAAAAAGAAAAAATGCCTCACAAAATGGCCAAAAAAAAATGAAAACGAGAAAATTTTATTTTTCTAAAAGCTTTGGCTCTTGTTTCAGGCATGCTGCTGGTATTAATATGCCTTGTTAACACCCCCATATAGGTGAAATTTCTTAGAACTGAATAAAAAGGGCATAATTTCCTTCACCAAAAATGGCCATTTTGTGTGGCGTTGTTCATATTCCCTGATTTCATGATTTATAACCTTCATTCGGCTGTAAAAACACTCCATCTGGGGTGTTATTGTATGATAAATAGCTTGTGAATACTTTAGACTTATTGTTTCATTGAATAAAAGGAGTTTTAAATTTTGGCCATTTTGTGAGGCATATTTTGGCCATTTTGTGAGGCGTTTAGCCATTTTAGCATTTTTTTTCTTCCTATATTGAACAATGTTCGTTTTGTTTGATGAATACTATTCTTTAAACATCTTCTGTCATACTGGTGCCAGAAGTTCTCACCAAAATGCAAACTTAGTTCAAAAATTTGAAAACAAATTTTGTGAGGCATATTTTGGCCATTTTGTGAGGCGTGTAGCCATTTTAGCATTTTTTTCTTCCTATATTGAACAATGTTCGTTTTGTTTGATGAATACTATTCTTTAAACATCTTCTGTCATACTGTTGCCAGAAGTTCTCACCAAAATGTAAACCTAGTTCAAAAATTTGAAAACAAATTTTCAGTGCTCAAAATTTCTACATAAACAGTCATATTTATGCCAGAAAATGTGGTCCTAGTTAATGATTTTACCACAGGAAGTGTTGCCGGAAGACTTTTGTTTCATATGGTATCCACAAAACCTACCAGTCTTATATAAAAAATTAGTTACAAAAACATTTACAAATTTGGCCATTCTGTGAGGCTAGCCATTCTGTGAGGCATTTACCCGTACCTCCTATCAAGTATAAATTTGTAGATCATGTATGGACACGTTTATTCGAGTTTGAAGATATTGGTAAATATTAGTATCAGTGGCACAATTGTTTAGAATTGTATTATAGATGCTTATAACATTGTTTACCACAGGTGAAGTGTACGAAAAGTGCTGATAAATATTGGAAGTGTGATGAGGAGACGGGTGAGCAGGTTTGTGTTGATACACGACACGACCACAACTGTTCCACCTGTATCAAAGTAAGAAATGCGAACTAAGCGATTTCAAAAAGTCTTTGCATTTTTAAACAAGTTTTAAAGATCAAAGTATGCGATTTGAGGCATGTTTGAGCAACTTTGCATTTAATTAATTTGGGGCGTTGAATTACTGGGCTTACTAAATATTACAAGTTTTTATTTAAAGACATTGTTTCACCTCCCCAACAGGATCCACATTTGTAATAATGTCATTATAGTTCCCATTGAATAATTAGCAGTTTTTCATCCTTCTTCTTTATTTTTAAAGTTTAGCCTCCTGCAAATTCTGTGTTTTCTCTGTACTGTGTTTTCTCTGTACTGGCCTAGACTTTCATCTTTAATTTTCTTTACTATCAGGATCATTACCCGGTGGAAGGATCACCTGACTGTAAATATTGTACTGAGACGGACTGGTACACTTGTTCTGATAAAGGAGAGAGAGAATGCAAAGATAGCTGGTAAGTTGCGACAATTTAAAAATCTTTTGATGATTACAATATATTCCGGGAATTATTTCCCCGAAAAATCGTGGACACTGGTAACCGATAATTTTCCACAAGGGTTGCCAAAGTATTATGAGGACACACTGTGAAGTGCGAGTCACCTCGCGGGAAGTTTCAAACAAATAACACTATTATAGTATTATATAAACAGTGGCGCACTATATAATATTACACACTTTAATGTATCATGCGCAGCGCACGTATCATGTATCACATTACACATCTTCCGATCAGAACCGCGGACAAAATGATACCTTGGCTTCGTTTCGTGCCCCGCGTTCCCTCCGCTAAAGTGTCGGGAATTATCGCCCGTAGCACTCAACAGCCAAGGTTTTATAGTCCAACGAATTAGAATTGTCGGTTGAGATTTCTAATCGTAATATTAGAGGGCCTTACCGTATTTTTACTCGAAAAGTCACTGTCAAGAACTCTGAAAATATTTTCCTGAACATATTTTTAATCGTAGAAAGAGTTAAAAGTGGTCCGGTAACGATCGGACTGATTTGTTTGTGTATTTTTATCGGCTTTTATTTAGGGGCCATCTACTTAGGACGTCCGTCAAAACCGCAGATTTTCAGACCACCCCCCTCCCCCTGTCCGGGTGTGTCCGAATTTTCAAAACCACCCCCTCCCCCGGATGTCCGGATTTCCAGCTACTTTTAAGAGTACAAATAAAACCGACTCAAATTCATTGAGTAAAAAGTGTTAAAGAGTTGAAATTAACGAGCGTGCTAAATCACTCTACAATCTTCTACATTTTTCTAAAAGGGCCCCCGACAGTTGAAACCAACTTGAATCGATGTATCTTCGGACGCTGATTCCGAATTACCCTCCATGACATAGGTTAAAAATGCTCCCCTGGCGAGATATTGGCGGAAAGCTGTCTCGATCACGTTATATGACCGTATAAGGAAGTTGGTCTAATTTCTCGTCAGGGTTAGTTTTTCGAATAGTCGTTCAGGGGCAGCTAGAGAACGGGTTGAAAAAGTCACGTGACAGTCGAGTGTAGAGTGATTAATCATCATCCTGAAATTAATGGGACTTTTTCGTTAATTCTGCCAAAATTTCCGGACGTCCGCATTTTCAGAAACCAGCCCCCTCCCCCTGTTATGTCAGGATTTGTCCGAAATTCCAAAACCACCCCCCTCCCTATTTGCCGGACGTCCTAAGTAGATGGCCCCTTAACTCTAACTCTGTGAGCTGTCTGCTCGTTTACGTACGCTGAAATTGTGCGACGTTTTAACTTCTGATATGGATTATGGATATTATATGACAGGCACATGATCTGTACATGGCAAAGTGTGATTATTAATGGTTACAAACTATTTATCCCCTCTCCGTGAGTATCCCGCCCCGTACCTTCTTTATGCTCGGTAATTTATCGTCTGGAATTCATAATCATATTAAATCAATTATTTGTTCATACCCCAACATAATAATTGCTATCATCAAGGTACGGGGTTATGTGCGACGAGTACTGTGTGGAAACTAAAAGATTCTCTTGTCTGGGGACTGGTGCCATCAGTGTAAAACCAACTTTACAGGTGAGAATTATCTTCTGTCGGGGAAATTATCGGAAAAAATACGGCATGGAATTTTACCCTCCAGTATTTTTTATTTCCAGATAATTAAATTTTATTTTGTCGCTATACGAAGTAACGACAAGTAAAATGAGGTTAACTTCATGATTGAGTGTCTGGTATTTGCATTTTCTACCGGTTCCTTCCCGTTTATACCATTATAATAGTTCTCACGTTACTGAAGCCTCCTCGTTATAATCAAGTACTATACTTCTCAGAAATTGAGGTATAAATTTGTCATATCATGGGCCACATCCAAGCGGAACTTAAATGTTTCCTGAAGTTCGTTATATACCCATTACATATTCGAGCTTTTTATTCAGAATTAAAACAACTCTTTCATATTAACAATGATATTACAAAGGTGTCTTTATAATTAAAAAACGATACATGGCAATACAAATTACAAAATAACATTGATTGATTGAAAAATGTCGTTAAATTCATCATAAATATCACTATAACTACTAGTGTGAAAAATGGCCACGGGCCTAAATATTACATATCAATCAATTACAATTCATTAACATTACCAATATTAAAAACTGTCCAAAATATCTAAGAAAGTATTCTCTAGCCAAAGGGCTCAATATTTAAATCTAAATCTTCAATATTGTCTGGTTTATATCGCAACTTGGGCCTTCTGTCCCCCCTTATCGAAATAACTGTTGTCTTTAATACCTCAAAGCGCAAGCGCTTTCTATAACTACTAGTACTATATTTTCCCAAACATTCTTTATATTTCTACTAATCCCACAGGAGAAGAGTCTTACTGCAAGTCCTGCAAAGAGGGCCACTACGGAGTGTCATGTGACCTGGTGTGTGTGCCGCTCACTACCCTGTCTGTGTGTGATCGAGAGACTGGTACGTGGTTTATGGGAAATAATGGGATCTTGAGAGATTGGTTTGGCTGTATCGTGACCGTATCGTGACCGTATCGTGGCCCTATCGTGACCGTATCGTGACCGTATCGTGACCGTATCGTGGCCCTATCGTGACCGTATCGTGACCGTATCGTGGCCAAACCTAACCTCCCAATTTCCCTCAATGATTGTTATCAGACTATTTATAGCAATTAATACAAATTATCCAAAATAGAATCTCCTTACGAAATACGAATATCGGTTGCTCCGACATTCCATCATGTCACTAGATATTCTGAACCTAGATCACGTCTTGTTGGTGTTTAGTATGTTAATCGCGCTTCATTTCTCTGATTGACTGCGACAGATTTCCTTTGGGTGCTAATTTTTATAGACGACGATCATAATTCAAATTGAATTATGATCGTCGTCTATAAAAATTAGCACCCAATTGAAATGCACTGACAATTTTTAAAACCAAACACGAGTCGTACCGTTGGAAAATATTCATATTCTTTTCCGAATGTTCTGCCCTTAAACAGAAATAGCAGCATCAAATAGGCCAGACCACCTAGTCGTTGAATCCAACATTTTATTAATAAATAATTGTTTTATTAAATAATTATTTTATTAAAAACATTTCTTCCCCCATTTTAAAACCTGAGGTGCCTAATTTTTATAAAAAATCATGGTCTAATGCTGATCGGCATCCGTGGCAAATGTCTAGGCTCAGTCTCACCAAACTTCAGAGCAGATGTTGAAATTACAATATTCGCTCGGTATCACCAAACTTCAGAGCAGATGTTGAAATTACAATATTCGCTCGATCTCACCAAACTTCAGAGCAGATGTTAAAATTACAATATTCGCTCGATCTCACCAAACTTCAGAGCAGATGTTGAAATTACAATATTCGCTCGATCTCACCAAACTTCAGAGCAGATGTTGAAATTACAATATTCGCTCGATCTCACCAAACTTCAGGGCTGCATTGTCCGAACATTGTTAATAAATAATTGTGTAGCTTTTCCTTAAATTTCTAAATAATATTGATAGCGTTTTGATTTAAAAATGGCAAGCTTAGATACATTTTTTACGAAGAGTCTATGATTCATCCTTATTGTAAGAGTTGATACACAATATCGTATGGGAATGGCATGGTTCGCCCTGTTCCTATAATTTTTCACTGACAGGTAGATTAATGTTTATGACGTTAACCTTTGACCATTTAACGAATTCATCCCGAGAATTTGTACATTGTTTCCTAGAAATCCATTAAAAAACGGGCGAAGAAAACATTCACCCGGTTGTTGAATTTAACATTCCAACGCCTGTTTCATAAAACTCATAGTCTGATCATTACAACTGTTAACTTGCCAATGGGCATCTGTGGCAAATGTCATGTTTAATAGATCATGGCATCTAGGAAGATTCAGAGCAGATTTTAAAATTAAAATCTCGATCTCGCCAAATTTTAGGGCCGTTTTACATTTTGCATTCTCCGATAATTTTTAATAATTTTTAATAATTGATTTTGTAGTTTTTCCAATTTTCCTCGCAAATTCCTTGCAAATTGATACAAAACATTATTTTCTAGCTATTAGCATGATTCGTCTCGTTGTCTAAAAGTGCGTTCCTATAATTTTTAACCGACAAGTAGAATAATGTTTATGACATAGACCTTCATCCCAGGAATTTTTACATTGTTTCTTAGAAATCCGTCAAAGAATGGGCGAAGAAAACAAATATCCCCTGATAAATGAGTTGTGACCGATAATTTCATCCAACTAGTCAGATTAGCGACGTTTATTGTCCATAGTGACCACAAAACTGAGTCAGGAATCTACAAACGGCCAGGCTTGGAACCGGAAACGTGGCACGACTATTATTGATATTAGGCTGAATTCAATTTAATAATAAACCAGCCTTGTTATTAACATCCCCCCTCTCTCCCAGGTGCCCTAAAGTGTAAAGAAGACTACTTTAACCCACCCTACTGTAACACCTTCTGCAACACCTCCTGCCCTCACTACACCTGTAACACCTCCGGAGAGAAGCGATGCGGTACAAACCGGGACATCACCACAGGGTGTGACACTTGTGTGGAGAATTGGTATGGTGAGGAGTGTGGGACGTTCTGTTTCACGGATTTAGTGACCATGGAATGTGATGTGGGTGGTAGGTTGGTGTGCAAGCAGGGCTGGGCTGGTGAGGAATGTACGGAATGTGCTGAGGGTTGGCATGGTAACATGTGTGATACTTTCTGTGTGGATTTGGAGGACTTTAGGTGTAACAAAAAGGGGATTTTGGTTATGTTCGATGAGCCAGTGACAGATTTGCAGGAGGTAGATGATATTGATAATAATGATAATCATGAGGACAATGATGTTGTGTATGCATCATTTTTAATAATTTTTGGTTTCTTGGCCGCATTTTTCTCGTTGCTTATTTCTTATCTCCTTTATGGTAAATTTAGAAATATCTTATCTGAAAGGCAAGAATGTAAGTGATAAGTACATTCTACATTCATCCAAAGTGTTGGTCTTGACTTAAGTATTACATTTCATATTTTGGGAAGGGATTTATTATTTCGGATTCTAGATTTTTCTAGATTCTTCTCCAGATATTGCAGACTTCAGAAACATGACATCATTGCGACTTTTAGATTAGTGGTTAAACCCTGATTACCGATTTACTGCGCCCAATATGTACTTTCAGGGAACCGGGGTGATTAACCGGGAGTTTTTACTGATACCACTTTAGTTTATTTGCTTATTGTAATAAACGATTTTCGAATATTTGTAGTAAACGATTTTCGATTAACTGAGCAATTAAGTTTAAATTTGCTCCCGCTAAATTGGTTTATTAATGTAAAAAGAATTATAATAAGAACAAACAAGAACATGTTCAATTTATTTTATTTTAATCATACAACTTAAATCTATTCCTTTCTTCAAAAACGACAAATTGCCAAAAATGTATCAAGTTATGAGCTCAATAAATTCTTAATTTGACGTACTTCAAGCTGAACCCAAACTCTAAAGCCTTATCTAAAATGGCTAGCTGAGATCCAGGAAGGTAAGTCATTACAGCCATATCGCTTACAAAAGAGTTAACGGGTGATACTCGTAAAATATCTGTTCCATATATTGACGAGTCCAACTCGGCGCGCGTCCTGGTAGGTTGTAAACCTACTACTATAAGGTTGTAAACCTACTACTATAAGACTATACAAACAAAAGAGCTGAAATGAAACACTGATAACAGAACTCTCGTTAAATGTGCTAATCATAAATCTACCCAACTTTGAACTGTAACAGGACTACATGCGTTGTGGTTATAACGGGTGAGATGTTATGGTTGTGATAAAAATAGCTTGCATGTATGAACTAAGAAACACTATGAGTATGTCGGATTAGCAAATTCCAGCCGAAATTTAAACTTGACCAAATAGTCAACTAGTGATTCCAAACATGTGGTCTTATAGCAGCAGGCTTACATTTACAATAAAACTAAAAGTCAGGACCATTAGAATTAATGTTTAAATCAAACCCTCAACTGAAGCCCACTTCATACCTACATACTTTACATACTGTATTGCATGCAGTGCAGGTATGGTATATTTGACAATGTGTCCGTATAATCCATAACGTCATCCGTTAAACGTGCTTCTCTTTTCGACGAGCAATTCGTCAATATTATATGATGAGCAATGGCCAAAATTGGACTATGAGGAAGCAAGTTAAATATAATATAGTGTCATCAGCCAGAAGCAAAACCATATTTGTACATATAGTCGGAACATGACCTATTCGGCCGTAATATTTCCTTTGAGATTAAGGTGCTGGTATCGTAATAGTTTAAGTCATAAGTATGATTGCAGGTATTATCATCAAGTATTCGCAACGCTGAACAACTTAATAAATAACTTAATTTGGAACAGCGTTACTCTTCTGAGCTGAGCACGTCACCTTCAGCCACGGTCACTCGGTCACTCTGCCAACGTTCTCAAATCTAATCTACGGTCCTGCAAATGACAGGTACAATGTGCAGTTACATCATGTTCTAATCTGATAAAAAGTAATCTGGGGCCAGCACAACGGAAACTTAAATCACTGGCAGTAATCAAATATGAACAATAAGAATTACTGAGTTGCTCATAGTGAATAACATAATATATCACGTCTGACCTAATGTTTTGTTAATATACAAATAACTGCATATTTTATTTTCTTAGCCATTCTCAATTCTCCGAAATGCAGACTGTTCGATTGTTCGATTGTTTTGATCATAGTTGTTACGGACGTCCTGGACGAACTTTAAAAAGGTGCCGAACTGGACGAATTTTTTAACGAAATAGACGAACTTTAACCGAACTTTATCACATATGCTATAGATTATTTAGATAACAATGATAAGTTGCGAGCTGTTGCTATAATTGATGCTTATTAATTGTAATCTGTGAACCAGCTCTGTTTATATTGAAGTACTAGTCATCAGTCATGATCTGTTGTTGATCTAGTTTTTTTTTCAATACAAGTATGTATAACTATCTAACTGTATCATTTGTTTACAAGTGTAATAGTGATCGCACCTAAGCCATTCATTATAAAATCAAAACATATGCCAAGAAAATTTACGCAACGAATTTTCACGAATTTTCACGAATTTTTAAAAGGTGCCGAACTGGACGAACTTTTCGCATTTCTTCGACGAACTTAACAACTATGGTTTTGATTGCATTTTATTCCTCAAGTTCCTTTATCTATCCCTTTAATAAATTGTTCCCCGATAACCGATAAGTAAAACTGGACCTTTTTGGTAAACTCACGTACAGTTACATCATGTTCTAATCTGATACAATTTAATCTGGACCCAACCACGGAAACTTAAATCGCTGGCAGTAATACAATATGAACAATAAGAATTACTGATTTACTCATAATGAATAACTTAATAAATCACGTCTGACCTAATGTTTAGCCAATATATGAATAACTTCCCATTTTATTTTCTTAGCCATTCTAAATTTCCCGAAATGCACACTGTTCGATTGTTCGTGCGTCTTGCTTGAATTTTATTCCTCAGCTTTATTTTATTCTTTAAATGCAGTTTGAGTTCGATAACTGATAATTTAAGTAAACCCGGCCCTTTTTAAAAATCAGACTCATGATCAGTAAATATGTGTTCACGTTTGCATTTTGAAAAATCTGGTGACCTTCTGCAAAATATGGTGCTCCCGCAAAATTGAGAGAAATACTAATATATATTTTTAGAATAATACACAATATTGAGGTGGCATGTTGCGGTGTCGCCGATTGAGCTTATCAAACATTTAAGAACCAGAGCGGAATCCCAATTCAGACCAAATCGGCTCAAGATATTGGACAAAAATACACTGCGCTGCAAAAACTTTTTATGCAAACCTTAATCAGTAAATTAAGGGGACAAAGTAATACCGCGAAGTAAATGAGCTGTTTTAAAAGTATGGATTAGCGTTTTGAATCTCGACAGTCGACATGCAGGTAATGCTTCAAATAAAGTTCGCTGCTCGAAACTAGATGGTTCGAGAATCAATGTTTCACAATGCTGGCAAGCATGACCGTGCCTCTTATATTCACAATACTATTTGCCCCCTTTACTATTTACCCCCTTTACTATTATACCCCCTTTACTATTATACCCCTTTATTGTTTTTCAGGCATTAAGACTCATCGAAAGTAGTTCAGCAGGTATATTTAAGTTCAAAACATTCTAATTCAATGTCAAAAATGACAGGAATAAGAAATAGTTATGTGGAGGTTTTTTAAGAATTTTTGCGCAAAATACGCGCCAGCATGTTATACGAAATTCGGTAAAAAACCCAAAATCGCCATATTCAGGTGCCTTAAAAACCATGTTAAAATTGAGTTAGAGATGTGAAACTTTGCAGGGCGTCTAGACGTTGACCAAATCGACTCCAAAAAAAGTTTCAAGTTTCAGTAGCATTGGGAAGTGGGTTTTCTAGAACCCCTGTTTTACGACAGATTGTCGTGATATATACATATTCAGGGATAGACGCTTTGACAGTCAAATGTAGTCAATTGTATTCTAAATTTAAGTGTCCATAGATTCAAAAGTATAAAAGATACAGCCATTTCCGACCACAGGTCTTGAAAATAATTGTTTACACTTTAGTTTACATTGTATACAAAAATTATTTGACGTCACAAACACCCCTTGATGACGTCATCAAGTTAACCGTTTTTAAAACTTGATTTTCGACAAAGTAATAACTTTTAAAATTGATTTTACACCATTTAAAAGAAATTTTTTTCAACATCTGAGTAAATTTTTATCTTAGATAATTGTTCAAGCATTCTGAAAATCTACCGGAAAGTTTTCTTATCTTACTCCTTCATAAAGATATTTGCCTTTGAAGTTAGTGCTTTTTTGAAAAATTATTTTATAAAAACGTCAATTTTGCGATTTAGTATTCTCTGGTGTTGGGCTATCCCTTGGGTTGTGGAGCTCAGTTCTGCTTCCTATAGGTATAAATTGTGCATTAGGCTAGTTTTAAAGTTGAAAATCGAAAAGTTGCACACGTGAGGACACGCCCAAATTGATTAAAAATTGCTAAAATCACTGAAAATTGGTGTTTTCACGATTTTTATCAACTTTGGAGTCCCGTTGTGATCCAAGTTCTATTTGAAATCTTTTGAAACTTTGCACGCTTATCAAACTATATATAAAATACCACTATGCAAAAATTTACGGCGATTCAGTATTGGATGCGCACGCAACGTCCGCTCAAGGTTTGCACGTGCGAACGGTGAGAATTTTGCTCATTCGTGATTTCGAACAAATTCTGCTTTACCACGACAGTTCAATGTCATTATATATGAATTTAATGGCAACTTGAATGATTATAATGTTTTATGTTCAGTCAGTGATAGACCAATATGCTTACTTAAACACAAGGAAATGTTTTTAAAGGAAAAATTTCGAAATCGTTGAAACTCCTCCTTAATAATGAAGACATCAGTTTATATTTCGACTTTATAAAGTACCCTGACATTATAATCAAAAAGAGATGATATTTGACCAAAACCCATAATCATGGGTAGAGTGGACCGCTGCCAGTGTCTCTCTTTCCCAAACAAAAGGAAATGATATTAATTTGATTGACCGTTCTCAAATGCAAAATGATACCGAGAATGAAATCGGTCGCTCGCTTTTCCCATTAATTTACAATTGTAATAGATTAAGAAGAACTACCCGAAGGCAGCTGTACTCAGCAATAAAGATTCAATAAACTTCAGCTAATTCACTAACTACCAGTACCACCCTTATCCCGAAATACTAGGTATATCGACCCGAACGCAACCCAAAGGAATTTTTACAGCATGTGATTAATTGTAAGCCGTGAATGAATGGGAAAAGCGAGCGACCGATTTCATTCTCGGTATCATTTTGCATTTGAGAACGGTCAATCAAATTAATATCATTTCCTTTTGTTTGGGAAAGAGAGACACTGGCAGCGGTCCACTCTACCCATGATTATGGGTTTTGGTCAAATTTAGTATACAAAGTAGTCCGATATTCTATTATAGCCCATTTGCAGTTTTTTATAGGCTCTTACTAATTCGCTCGTCCAAATTATCACGTGACTTGGTTTTTAAGGTTTTGCAGCCGAACAATACGGTTTTACAAAAACCCTAATCCCAACCCTAACCATAATTCTGAAGCTATCCATAACCCTAGGCCTAACCCTAATCCGATGATGATTCGGAATCAGCGTCAAAAAATACACCGACGCGATCTAGATAAAGATTATTTTCAGTTTCATACCCTCAGGGCCTTTTCACAAGAATTTAAAAAAATTTGGGCTAGCGATTTAGTGGGAGCATATCTGATATGTTCCAATAAAGCAATAAGACTAAGAGCTGCTTTGGTTTCACGTACAATTAAATTTTATCTTTGACTTTATCTTTGATAGTATCAATCATGAAGTATGAAATATTATATAGCACCATTCCCATCATCGCTGATGGAATCAAAGCCGATAACCGATTAACAAAAAACTGTTTCTTTGAGAAATTGAAATCATCTATGTTCTTTAATGATATTTCTAAAAAGCAAATGGTTAAACTTAATGGCTACAAATGTCGCATATTTGGAAGCACGATCGATTGTCCGACCATGGTTTTTTTTCTTATGGCCACTGGCCAAAGGTCATATATTCCAAAACAGAGAGAGACAGTAAATTGGGTTCAGTTGACCAGTAGCCAGTAAAGGCTAGTAAACCATTCCTTCAATCTTTCAACGTCATACATGTGTTAAGTGGGCGGAAGTAACGAAAATTGGCCCAATAAAACTTCACAGACTTCTTAACGTCTAGATTATAAACTGGAAACCCGATTAAGGAAACAGGAGACTGTTGTCCAGATCTAATCAACTCAAACCATACGTCCAATTTATTAATTATAATCACAAACAGTTGATAACTTATAATTATAAAAAGACACGTACTACTAGCACTACCTAAAATAACGTCTGTCCTGTGGTTTAGCTTGTTTCAATTTTGAGGGTACTTCAAATTTCTCCTCTGCACCCGAAAATGTTTGCGATGTACGTGACCCAGTTTATCAATATAATATAATAATCCCATAAATCACGTCTTGTCTGCACTCTCTATCAGCCTACTACGGAATTCCCAGGGTCACAAATACTGTGTCATCCCAACTTCACCTTAGCGAGCACCCCATTTCTACTTCATTTGAGCCTGCACTCTGCAAGTACGAATTTCCCTTCGGCAAATTAAATTATGAAAAGAAGATAATGGTATCTGGGCTCCCTCAGAAACGTGGCATGATTTCAATTTGCCATACACATTAGCCCTTCTAAATTAGGCTTAAACACCAGCCGTTGAAATTACTAAACTAATATTTCGTCCCAAAGTTTTGAAGGTGCAACTTTGGTGGAAGTTTTGGTGGAATACAGTACGGAGAATAATTTAATTACCAGTTAATAAACTTCCCTAATCAGCCTGCACCTTCTCTTATGTTTATTATCTTTTCCCCGATTTAGGAACCGTAGTTTATTTGTGAGATTATGATTATCGTTCTGTGTATTAGGCGTTGTGGTGTTTCTTACCGATGCAGGGTGCATGTCGATTGCTCCATGTTTTATTTACTGTTTTTATAAATATATCCATTATCGACTGATACGCTAATTTTAACTTAAAATCGTAATTTATTATTTGCTTTACACTTTCTGATTACGTTTGAAAAATGCTCTAAAATAGCCATATCGTTACGTGGCCCTCCATAATTTTGATGGAGATCACTGATCTATATTTAAAAGATACGTCCCCAAACTGGGACACAGACTTACAGTTATACCTGGTACGGGAGATGACAAGGGTTTTGCAACTTAGTTACATTTATTATATACATATATTATTATATATTATTTATATATAATATACCAATGCAACAACTAACTGATAGCTAGGGGTAGTGATAAGGGTTTTGCAAATTGATCACGTTTATACAAACAACTAACTGATACCCTCCTCGAGCAGTATGAGACAGTGCATACTGTTAGCACTACTGGTTGGACTGACCACTGCTGAGATCCTCGGTGGCATGGTCGACGATGTAGATTATGCAGGTAAACTTTGTTTATATATAATTATGATATTTATAGTTTCTTGATTGACCAAATGACGATCGCGATGCCAATCCTTTTTAGCTCGTAATATTAATAATACGCACGGCGCGTCGAAACGGTGACGTCTTCCAAATTATAATTATAATTTTATATTGTTAGTTTTTTATGTTTTTATGCAAATATAATATAAATTGACTGAATAGTGCGATGTAAAATTGCATTTTCACTGAAATCAATTTCCTTTGCTGAGAATTTTATGGCCTGGAAACTATTAGTAAGTAAAAAGGAGAACGTGGAGCTTTAATCATAATGTGAACGTGTGATCTACGTTTACTCAGGAATAAAAAACTGATAAACTCAACACGTGTTTTCAGATGAAGAAGATTTTGCCAATGCTCTAGGTAAATGGGGGGTAAATCTTGTTGATATGGATGCTGACCAGGCTGTCCAGGGCAAAACTCCCGATAAAATTGGAATTCGAGGAAGAGACATCAAGAAGAGTAGCAGACTGTCCAACAGTGCCGTGGTACGTTCCATGATGATCAATGATACTCGTAAAATATTTGTTTCATTTCAAGACCAAATACTGTCGACGAGTCCAACTCGGCGCGCGTCTTGGTAGATTATAAGTAATAGTATAACATCTACAATAAGTCTTTAGCTACGTAGTGTGATTTCGCGTCGTCTGGTTTGGCAACGATGGCGGAAATGTTTAAAAAATGAAACATTTTCAGACATTCTTAATCTTAATCTGGCGATGACACCTGAAAATATATTTATATATCATAACTGTAAAGGTTAGAATTATTTTAACTTATCTGTATCACTTATAGTAATACCGGTGTTTTTTAGGGATACGTGCTACAGTTCGGATTTTTAGAAGTTGCGACTGAAAAAACAGAGGAGGAACTTATGGCCGCTGATACTATAATAGGAGAAAAAGAATTGAAAAAAGCGTGAGTGTTTGATAAATTCGATTGTTAATTTAACTGGCCCTGTAATTTTTAGGTTTCGGCAGTAGTGAAGATTATAACAACTTGTAATATATATATAAATGTTCTCAACCTAACATAAATTTGTGTTTATTTCACAAACTTTGAAACTTTTTCAACCGAATCATTACATCATTAAAAGGATCAAGAAACTGCAAAAGTTTTACGGCATTAAAGCAACTGGAATCGTCGACACACAGACTTTGAACTTGATGAAACAGAAACGATGTGGAGCCAAGGACGTTGAATACGGTAAATTGATTTGTGACAAGTTTTCCGAAATTGAATAGCTGATAATATATTATGGAACAGTATTTTAATGATAATGAGAATCATCATAAAAACACTTTTCAAAGAATTTGTAGGGATGTCCGCGCTTACTTCTGTTAAAATCAGTAATCAACAAAATCAAATAAAAGCAGCATGCAAGATGTGCAGTGTGCACATGAGATAAGTACATATAAAATATGATTCATGAATGCACTATCCAATGTTCATTTTATCATGCAAAGTTAACATCTTCATTTCAGAGAACCCTGTGAACAGGGCCAAACGATACACCTTGTCCCGAAAAAGATGGCCCTCCAAAACCCTGAAATATTGGTTCGATCCTACTGTAAGTTTTTTAAATTTATCGGATCAATTTTCGTAGAGATAATTCATAATTATGTTGATAATGTTAAATTTTCTCGTTTTTGCTTGATCTTGTCATTTAATATGCTTAATGTGAATAGCGAAATTTGTCTTAATACGTCATAGTATCTTACTATATATAAAGCGAGACGATATATATGTATATATATTTATTTATCCGTGCCATTTTACTGACACCACGGCATCAACTTTAACGCGACTTTCCACAAAAACCGTAAAAGATATACAACTGAAACTTTTTTGACTGGCTCAAATGCTTTAATGGCCTCCGAATGGCATGAAAAAATAAAAAATTGGCCAAGGAATAATGATTTTAGAGCCCAAAATTTGCTGTCGTCTTCTCAGGGGTAGAAGTATTTGAGGCGGTCTTAGTTTAATCTGCTTTATTGGAGTCAGGAACTGTCGCCTTCTCTACGGGGTCATTTGCTGTCGTCTTCTCAGGGGTAGAAGTATTTGAGACACTTTTAGTTTTTTCTGCTTCTGCGGGATCAGTGTCTGTTGTAGCTTCACACTGGTGAAGCAGCCGTGGTACTTTGCTGTTATTCTTATCATCGTCATCTTCATCGTCATCTTTACCTGAGCTCAGAGAGCCATTCCGTGATCCGTTGAAAAGAGCTCCACTGCTCTTGATCTGAACTCTTCTTGACTTGGTTTCAGATGAATTTGAAGAGGTTTGTGATGAATTATTCCCTGTGTCGCTTTCCTGTCCATCAGATGTGTCATTGGGGCAGTTATCACCGCGGTGTAATGTATCATGTATTTCTCTTTTTAATACATGTCGTGTATAGTTCAGCAATGTACTTTGGTTACATTGTACATGTGTATGTAAACGAATGACCCATATTTCCAGGTCCAAGTTAAAATATCGCAATACTTCTGAATATCACTCTACAACAAGTTCCGAGTAAGGCTCTTTATATTTGTATTAATAATTTATTTTCAGAAATACACTGCTGATTTAGCTTTGCCAATAGTTCGAAGCGAATTTGAGAGGTCGCTCGGTCTTTGGGCTGCACAAGCTGGCGTTTCATTCGAAGAGGTTAGTCAAAATTTATTGTGTAAGCTTGATGAAAAAAAAATGGTAACAAATTATGTTTTATGGATGAAAGGAATACTATATTTGACCAAAACCCATAATTGGGTAGAGTGGACCGCTTCCAGTGTCTCTTTTTTCTAATCAAAAGTAAATGATATTATATGGGAAAAGCGAGCAACCGATTTCATTCTCGATATCATTTTGCATCTACGGACGGTCATTTAAATAAAGATCATTTATTTTTGATTGAGAAAGAGAGACACTGGCAGCGGTACACTCTACCCAATCATGGGTTTTGGTCAAATATCATCTCTTTTTTATTAACATTTAATGTCAGGGTCTACAAAGTGAGGGTCTACAAAGTCGAAATGTTAAACTGATAACTTCATTTATAATAAGGAGGTAATTTCAACGATTTAGAAATTTTACCTTTGAAAACATTTCCTTGTGTTTAGGTAAGCATATCTGTCGATCACTGACTGAATATGCCACTTTATCCTCATTCAAGTTGGCATTAAATTCCTATATAATGCCATTTAACTGTCGTGGGAGAGCAGATTCTAATCGAAAACACGAATGAATTCTCACCTTTCGCACGTGCAAACTTTGAGCGGACACTGCATGCGGATCCAATATTGAATCACCGCTAATTTTTACATATCGGTATTTTATATATAGTTTGATACGCATGGCGCATGCAAAGTTTCAAAATATTTCAAAAAGAACTTGCATCACAACGGGACACCAAAGTTGATAAAAATCGCGAAAATATCAATTTTCCGTGATTTTAGCAATTTTCTATCAATTTGGGCGTGTCTCCACGTGTGCAACGTTTTGATTTTAAATTTTAAAACTAACCAATAACACAATTTAGACCTCTAGAAAGCAAAACTGAGCTCCGCAACCCAAGGGATGTCCCAACACCAGAGAATACTAAATCACAACTTTTGTATTTTTATAAAATTATTCTTCAAAAAAGTACTAACTTCAATAGCAAATATCTTTATGAAGGAGTAAGCTAGGCAAACTTTCCGGTAGATTTTCAGAATGCTTAAACAATTATCTAACTTCAGTAAGTCCTCAAATTTTGAATAAAATTACTCCTTAATGGAAAAAAATCGATTTAAAAAGTTCATACTTTGTCAAAAATCAAGTTATTAAAATGGTTAACTGACTGATCAAGTGGTGATGATGACGTTAAATTATTTTTTGATAGAACATAAACTAATGTTTAAACGATCATCTTCAAGACCAGTGGTCTGAAATGACTGTATTTTTTAAGTTTTAAAATCTACAGTCACTTGAATATAACCTATAATTGACTATAACGGACTGCCAAAGCGTCTATCTATACATTATACACCTAGGTAGGTACTTCACGGCAATCTGCTGTAAAACAGGGGTTCCAGAAATCCCACTTCCCGATACTCCTGAAACTTGAAACTTTTTTACAGTCGATTTGGTCAACATCTAGACGTCCTGCAAAATTTCAGATCTCTATAACTCAATTTTAGCATGGTTTTTAAGGAACCTGAATATGGCGATTTTGGGTTTTTTACTGAATTTCGTATAACTATAACAGTGCTGGCACGTATTTAACGCAAATTTCTTAAAAACCTCCACATAACTATTTAAATATTTCTTATTGATATTCCAGATTCCTGTCATCTTTGACATTGAATTAGAATTTTTGAACTTAAAATATGCCTGCTGAACTACTTTCGGTGAGTCTTTATAATGCCTGAAAAACAGTAAAGGGGGTATAATAGTATATAGGGGGTAAATAGTATAGTGAGTATAATTGCAACGGTCATGCTTGCCAGCACTGCGATAACTGCATTTGACTTTTTCACGATGTAAAAAAGTTCTTTATATTTATAACGTACAAATAAACTACAATGATGGCTGTAAATACAGGTAGCCGTAGCAGCTGATGCACACATTAAGATCTCCTGGGAGTACGGAGACCATGGTGACGGTTATCCTTTCTACGGACCCGGAGGCACCTTGGCTCACGCTTTCTATCCCGTCAAGGGAATGGTTAGTGAATTTTCAGTATACTTCTAGCAATGGGAATTTTAGTTAAGCTTAATAAATAGCTTAACTAAATACACAGAAGTATGAGAAGGCATAATTGTGTTTACCAACAGAGAATAAAAGTATGTTGGATGCCTTTAAAAAGTAATTGTTCATCTGTTTGGAACAAATTAGAAATTTGTGAGTATGAATAAAATTTGTTTTATTAACCACGTATTTTTTATCACGTTTTATTAATTACGTGTTTTTTAACCACGTGTTTTTTAACCACGTGTTTTCAGCTTCATTTTGATGAATCAGAGGACTACACAGCTTTCACTGTCACCGGAACAAACCTGCATTACGTTAGTTATTACATTTTATAAAATAGTTTTATAGTGCTTTTTAAATCAATTCAACTTTAATTCAAATATAATAGAAATTAGAGTATAGATTTATATACTCTATTTTCTGGAGGCCCTCGTTTCTTTCTCGTGTATTGGCTGCCGGCGATCAAGGTTACTTCAATTTATCTTGTAGACTAGACACAGAAAAATCATAACCCACAGAAAAATCATAACCCAAATCGAAGAGTTACAGAAGAAACATTTTCATACTAAGCCTTGAACCTCAAATTTCAGGTAGCAACTCACGAGATGGGTCACATCCTGGGTCTGAAGCACGCTGATAGCTCGCTAGGAAACGCTATTATGTACGCTCTCTACACGGGGTACTCGGATAACCTCCAACTCCATCAGGATGATATCGATGGTGTTGTAGCGGCCATGGGTGAGTGTCTGTGGCTATAGTTTTTGCTATAATTGTTGCTAAGTTGCTAACAATATTTTCACCACGACTTTCTAGTCACTTATCTCTAACAACTGAATACAAATAATTTCAGGACCTGGTCAAGGAACTGTATCACCCATAGGAGGATCTAGTGATCCTGATCCTGAACCTGCTACTGAACCCGCCACTCCAGAGCCAGTTGATCCTCCTGCCTGTATTGAGAAGATTAACGCTGCCTTCCACTGGGACTATAGTCCTGAATACGTGTACATCTTTGCTGGGGCCTGGTACTACAGGTATTATAGCTATATTCCTTTACCACATTTCTTTTCCACATTCCTTTACCACATTCCTTTACCACATTCCTTTACCACGTTCCTTTACTACATTCCTTTACCACGTTCCTTTACCACATTATTTTACCTTATTCCTTTACCACATTCCTTTACCTTATTCCTTTACTACATTTGCTTACCACATTTCTTTACCACATTCATTTACCACATTCATTTACCACGTTCTTATTTCCTTTACGTGCATACAATTTTACTAGCATATGAGTAATCAAGAATGAATCAACTCTTCAATAAATAATATCTGAGTAAAATCGCATCGGTATTTAAGATTTTTTAAATTTGCAACCCTCATAATTTCTCCTAATTTCTCCTAATTTCTAATTTGCAGGCTCAAGCCTAAGAACCCGGACGGAGGAAATTTCCTACCTATCATGGACACTACTGCTGAACCCAAACTTATTGGAAGGGACGGTTTTGTAGGTAAGATCCTGCGAGTTAAATAGATAATCATTAATGAACACATTAGATTATAATCAAATCATGATCCAATTTTATTTACTTTGTCATTTTTAAATTCGAAGAAGACTTGCATGCTTTTTTTGGTTGAGGTATGCGAGTGCTTTAATCAAACTATTTCTTTAATTAGACTTAAGTTAGACTTAAGTAAGAATTTAGTTAGACTTTAGTTAAACTGTCTTCCTCCCACTAGGTGTACCCAGGCATCTTGATGCTGCTGTCGAGACGCTTGAGGATGGAAACAAATTCTACGCCTTCAAGGGAGACAAATATGTTATGTAAGTGTTAAACGTTATCCACAGCACAACCGATAAATAATGATAAAAGTAACTGCAATACATTGATGTAAAATTTATTTTATTTTGAAATAAAATTTCAGATATGATATCGTGTCCCGACGAGTTACCGAGGACGGTGTCCTGGCTGATCTTTGGCCGGACAACACTCCCGACAAGATTGAAGCTGCTTTCAAGTGAGTCCCATTTTTACTGCGGCTCACACGAACAAATAAATCCTTATTTCTTTATTTTAAACAATATTATAGTCATTTTAGTACACTTTTAGTCTTATAAGTTCAACCAAAGTTCAGCTATAAGTTAAACTATAAGTTCAACTATAAGTTCAACCATAAGTTTAATTATAAGTTCAACTATGAGTTCAAATATAAGTTCAACTATAAGTTCAACTATAAGTTCAACTATAAGTTCAACTTTAAGTTCAATTATAAGTTCAACTATAAGTTCAACTATAAGTTCAACTATAACTTCAACTATAACTTCAACTATAAGTTCAACTATAACTTCAATTATAAGTTCAACTATAAGTTCAACTATAAGTTCAACTATAAGTTCAACTATAAGTTCAACTATACGTTCAACTAAAATAACCACACTCTCAGGATCAGCAAAGACGCGCTAGGTTTTATAGTTGGGGACAGACTCTACAAGTACTCCAAGTCTGGCAAGGTATGTCAGTAAATAGTAATACATTCTTAATCGATACTAGGAGTTATAAAACTACTAAAAATTACTAAACTTCTATTCACGGGATAGCTTGTTGCCTGGCAACGCCCGCTTATGATTCTTCTCCAAGCTCACACAAGTGTAAGCGAGGAGGAAGATATTCATGCATTTTACACGAGGCACCCATCACAGCTACCAACAATTAATTTGTAGGAGTTTTAAAAATCATCCTCAATGGACCATTTAATTTTCAAGGGGTTAACACGTTTTTACCTAATCTTAACTATTTTAATTTATTCAATTTACTAAAATATATTGTTTATAAATTATCTAACCTTATAATAGCTTAACAATGACCATTGCTTGATTTTTGTACATATATATTGTTTAAATGACCTTTTCTTTTTACAGGTATGGAGTGTAGGAGCAGCAGGTTCCAACTACTTTGATAAGTACGATGATCTAGACTCTGTGTCCCTTGCTTTCTACAGGAGCTGGGCTTGGGCCTTCCGTGGAGCCGTAAGTAGATTATATGGGATTAATATGTGATAAATATGTGATAAATTTGTGATAAATATGTGATAAATATGTGATGGGTATGTTACTGCAAATTGTTGTATAAGTTGAGCAAGTTGAGTGTCACAGCTGTTTCTTTTCAGTATTACTCAGTAGCAAGGAGCAAAAACGCCAAGGAATCCTCCAACTACATTATGCGTTCAATAAAACCCGATCTGAAACTACCAATGTGCACAGAAGTAAGTTATTTCTAGGATCTATAGGTCTGTAATTTGTATATTGGTGGTGGGGTTAACCAAAGTTAGTTTGACACGTGACGGTGACCTTGGCTTTTGATAGGTCAAAACTAGAAGCTGATTGGTTAATCGCTGTATTTAGTGTTGTTTACCTTCCACCAGTATTAAAATCTATCATACCGTACTTAAGATTTTAAAACATGTAGTTTAACTTGATTTATCATTATAAACGATGACGAGGAGGAGTCTCTCTAGATTACTATATTGAGATTTTAAAATATAATCCAACTTGTAACCAGCATGCTGTATCATGAAAGCCCAGTTTCACTAGCACAAACACTTTCAGGGAGTCGACCAATTATCAGCAGGTGATTTGAAAAAGTGCAAGAAAGAACTGAAGAAAATGAAGAAGAAGAACGGAAACTATACCCCTAAAGCTGAGTGCAAGGACTATGTAGCTGAGAAGTACGCCGACTCTGTTGATTTCAACAGAAACCACTTCGATTAAATTTAAACTTCAGTGAGAAATAGAGCGAAAAAAGATAACTAAACTGCAAAAACTTCTGTGGAACTTTTGGGAATGTATTTGCTGCAGTACAGTTTAAATGTTGATGAGCTATCAGAAAAAAACTTGATGTTATCTTAAGAATGTTGAAGATAACGCAATGCAAATTATAAACTTTTGTAGTCAATCTTGGGTTATTCTGTCTTTACAAGAGCTAAAAATTTAAATACTTGGATTATTGAAAAATAAAAGCCGATATATACGATCCGAAAGAATAATTTTACTTTATTTTCAATCATATTTTAAAAATTTATATTTTATTCGATGCAGGGTTTCCGCAAAAATGTAACCACTGACAAATTTTTTCATAGAATAACTGTAAGTGTAAGTGTAACCAGAACGTTTCGATTCAATTTCAAATTTTTAAAAGCGTTACGATTGCATAAGTTAAAAATCATTGATATTGGTGTTCCATATTTCCATAACTTATTATCATATATCCACAATAATTGATTTATATTTGATTAAAAAACTATAGTGTTTCATTTCCATTCATACTATAATTGCTTGATGCTTCAATAAAAAGTCGTGCGCGACCACCTCCAATCACCATTTATTTGAGAAGAAGCTCATAAAAATGGCAGTAATCCAAAAAATTAAAAAGTTCAAACTCCAACCATACTTCTTATAATACCGCCAATTAAAGAATTGCTGTCTGACTCAGTAAAAAAGCTGTCTTCTGACATTTTATCAAAATCCTCAACACAGGGAGACTTGGCTTTAGGTACGTCTTCCAGGTTGTAATGAGCTGAAAGGTACTTTGAGTTTGAGGATATTGCAGAAGAGTGGGTTGGGATTTTTTCATTGCAATCTTTAGAGACGATTTCGCTATCATCAGATTTTGATGGCAGTTTCTCCCCGGATACGCTTTCCTCGCCAAGTTTGCAAGTCACTAATGTTTCTGAGGTAATAGAAGAGTCGCTGGTATCCAGGCATTCCATTTGCCTAGTATCAGACAATATCCTGTTCGAGTTGTTATGGCTAGTTTTAGCTAAAGAGTTTGTCTCCTGATCCATCTCTCCAGAACGTTTCAGATCTGTCTCATCGTTATCTGACTGGAAGTATGTGCAGGATGCATTATTATCATCACTGTTGGTTGAGTTATGATAATGATAGCGAGGACCGGACGTCGAGAGACTTTGACCACTTTCCATATCTAATGGTTGGGAATCGTCATAATGGGCTCTAAATCCTAATTCTACCCCAGAGAGCAAATCAGTTATATCTTCAGTCGAGTCTGATATACTCAGTCCGTCTATATTGCTAGGGTCAAAGTTTTTCCTTTGCATATTCTCTGCCGATCGACCACATTTTTGCGATGTGTAGGTCTGTTTTCCGGGTGAATGATACGCGCTTGTTGAGACGTCTTGGTTAAAAGATCTCTGCATTGGAGCGGACCCCCCAAGTGAGGTGTTGTGGAAAATACAGCATTCGTCGGGTCCCCCAAACTCACAGTTACACAGAAAGCCGTCTTCAGAGGAACTCCTATCCTGAAATGGAGACAGCGTCAAAACAATGCTCCATTAGTTTCAGGTACGTGATATATCACGTGATTACCCCGTTAATCAATATTCCGATAGTCTCGCACTTCAAGCTACAGATTATACTTTTACATTCCAATTTTTCATTTGGTCATCAGTAAAGTTAAACAAAATAATTTTTGTAAATCCAAATCATAGCATGTCCTTACCAAGGAGATCTGTGCGGTAGTTCGTCTAGAAGAGTGACATTCCTCTTCTTCTAATCCCCGGATACTAACCCCGATACTTTTGCCTGAAATTTTATCATCATGAATCAGATGTTTATTGTGAGGCATTGCATAATTTATCTAACATAATGTTAATCCTGGGAGCAGTCTTACAATAATTAAACAAGCTAATGAAGTATATAGCTGGGATGTATTGGGGCAGTTATTATTGACATTGGCATCTCGGTTAGTGTAGCAAATATTACAATTACCGTCTGCAGATGAAGAGTCTCCAGGAATCCCACATAACCATCTCTCAATGCAGACTTGCTTGATGTCATCTTCCTCATCTTCCTCCTCATCTTCCTCATCTTCCTCCTCTTCCTCATCTTCCTCCAGATTAGTATAGTAAGAGGACAGACTTGTAGGCTGGGAGTCTGAAACACTTGATCCCGCTGTCCCCCGGTTAAATAACCGTCTCCGGTTATCCCGAGGAGAGTCCTGGTTAGAAGAGACAGTTTCAAACGTGGTGTTGAGAGGGTGTCTCGTAACCTGGGAGTCTGGTACATTGTACATTGTACATTGTACATTGTCCAGTGGGTCTGTGCTGGCTGTGTGGTGTTTAGAGTCGGGATGTCTGGTGTGAGGGGAGTCTGAGTCCTTGCAGACCAATGAGCAGGGACTCAGTTTAGAGGGACGTTCCTCCCGTGGAGGGCTCCGGATGTCTGATAGAGAAAACATACTGTCTGAAAGAGAATAGGAGTTAATAGTTAATTTAGATTGGGTAGGTAACTGAGACCCATCAATGTTATGTTTAGGATTAGAGACCGGCATGATACTGATGAAATTCTAATCTCGATATAAGAAACGCAATTTGGACACAAAAATAAGCAATACTGCCTTAGCAATTCATCAATCTATTATAGTACATATTTTACCAAAACCCATAATCATGGGTAGAGTGGACCGCTGCCAGTGTCTCTCTTTCCCAAACAAAAGGAAATGATATTAATTTGATTGACCGTTCTCAAATGCAAAATGATACCGAGAATGAAATCGGTCGCTCGCTTTTCCCATTCAGTCACGGCTTAGAATTAGAAATTAGAAATTAGAATTAGAATTAGAATTAGAAATTAGAAAGATCATTACAAAATTACATGTGTCAGATCCCAATCAGTTAAATGAAAGTTATTCAACCAAACAATAAAAAGAACATAATATCTTAAATAAATAATTAAAAGGTTTGAAAGTGTGCACGAAATAAGGATACTAAGTCATAGCTTACTTTTAGGAAATCTTTCACGAAATAGATTATAAACAAAATTTCTGGTCTCCAAAATGTAATCCTCACGAATTGTAATAAGTTTCGATTGATTACATCAATCAGATGCTGTAAAAATCTCTTTGGGTTGCATTCGGGTCGATACCTAGTATTTCGGGGTAAGGGTGGTAGTTATTACTTATTATATTGAATTAGCTGAAGTTTATTGAATCTTTATTGCCGAGTACAGCTGCCTTTGGGTAGTTCTTCTTAATCTATTACAATTGTAAATGAATGGGAAAAGCGAGCGACCGATTTCATTCTCGGTATCATTTTGCATTTGAGAACGGTCAATCAAATTAATATCATTTCCTTTTGTTTGGGAAAGAGAGACACTGGCAGCGGTCCACTCTACCCATGATTATGGGTTTTGGTAAAATATCATCTCCTTTTGATTATAATGTCAGGGTACTATATAAAGTCGAAATATAAACTGATATCTTCATTAATAAGGAGGAAATTTCAACGATTTCGAAATTTTTCCTTTAAAAACATTTCCTTGTGTTTAAGTAAGCATATCGGTCGATCATTGACTGAATTTGCCACTTAATACTCATTCAAGTTGGCATTAAATTCATATATAATGACATTAAACTGTCGCGGCAAAGCAGAATTTGTTGGAAATCACGAATGAGCAAAATTCTCACCTTTCGCACGTGCAAACTTTGAGCGAACGTTGCGTGCGCATCCAATATTGAATCGCCGTAAATTTTTGCATGTAATTGTTTTATATATAGTTTGATAAGCATGCAAAGTTTCAAACTATTTCAAGAAGAACTGTAATCACAACGGCACTCTAAAGTTGACAGAAAATGACGAAAACAGCAATTTTCAGTGATTTTAGCGATTTTCTATCAATTTGGGCGTGTCCCCACGTGTGCAACTGTTCGATTTTCAACTTTAAAACTAGCCTAATGCACAATTTATACCTATAGAAAGCAGAACTGAGCTCCACAACCCAAGGCATGGCCCAACACCAGAGAATACTAAATCGCAAAATTGACGTTTTTATAAAATAATTTCTCAAAAAAGCACAAACTTCAATGACGAATATCTTTATGAAGGAGCAAGCTAGAAAAACTTTCCGGTAGATTTTCAGAATGCTTGAACAATTATCTAAGATGAAAATTTCGTCAGATTTTGAATACAATTACTTTTTAATGGTGTAAAATCATTTTTTAAAATTATTACTTTGTCAAAAATCAAGTTTTAAAAACGGCTAACTTGATGACGTCATTAAGGGGTGTTCATGACGTCAAATAATTTTTGTATACAATGTAAACTGAAGTGTAAACAATTATTTTCAAGACCTGTGGTCGGAAATGGCTGTATCTTTTATACTTTTGAATCTATGGACAATTAAATACAGGCTACAATTGACTGGCAAAGCGTCTATCCCTGAATATATATGTATATCTATCTATGTCACGACAATCTGTCGTAAAACAGGGGTTCTAGAAAACCCACTTCCCGATGTTCCTGAAACCTGAAACTTTTTTTGCAGTCGATTTGGTGAACGTCTAGACGCCCTGAAAAATTTCAGATCTCTAACTCGATTTTAACATGGTTTTTAAGGCACCTGAATATGGCGATTTTGGGTTTTTTACCGAATTTCGTATAACAGTGCTGGCGAGTATTTTATGCAAATTTCTTAAAAATCTCAACATAACTATTTTTTATTCCTGTCATCTTTGACATCAAATTAGAATGTTTTGAACTAAAAATAAATCTGCTGAACGACTTCCGATGAGTCTTAATGCCTGAAAAACTCCTGCCGGAGGCGGCGGCCTTCGGCCGCCGCCTCCGGCCGGAGTGCACGCTTCGCGTGCACGAAAGAGGCTTGTAACGTGTACCAAAGGGGGTATAATAGTAAAGGGGGTATAATAGTAAAGGGGGTACATAGTAAACCCACAATAAATGCACCGGTCGTGCTTGCCAGCACTGTGATTATCAATGAAATATTATCATACTCGTCATTAATGTAAAGAGAAATTAAGAACCCACAATAATTTCTGCTCCATCTAACCTGCATTGTTGATAGAAGTGAGGGATGGGGCCATGCTGACTCGGTTCAGAGAGACACTTCTCCGGAACTGGGTGATGGTGGAGAGAGTTCTGAAGTTGCTCCTGCAGGGACTGGAGGTACGGTACGGCAGCACTGGGTCTATAAACGGCACCTGGGTTAATTTGTAGTTTGTTTAGGGATGGTGGAATGGTGGAATGTGGGTTTAACTTTATAGGGTAGAATTTGTTTTGATAATACTATATACTGCAAGTACATGTACATTATACATTGTATAACGTACAAGGTGGCACTCTCAGTGGAGTGTAAGTATACAGGTGCACTAACCAGTTTCACCAGTGGGTCACAAGGGTCGATGTTGGAGGTGTCAGCACTGGCACTGAGAACTGTACTGCTACTCGGTATCTTATTGATGATGTCTCTGCAGGCTGGCACTGGAAGTGGGCCCCTAAAGAAAATAGATAAAAAGATCCTCAAATAGTTTGATATTTTTACCTACCTTATTAAGTTATTTGACCGGACATTGTGTGAACGGATATAGTTTTGAAGTTTGAACGGATATTAAAATGAACGCTCAAAGGGCCTACTCTACTTAGGATGTCCGCCAAAATTTATATTTGAACGGACATTAAAATGAACGCAAGGGCCTCTAGCGTCTAATCAATGTCCGTTCAAATAATCTCTGATAAGGTATACCTGATAATTTCTGATAAGGTATACTTTTCATATACATATGAAAAGTTGAATCAAACATAGCTTTGCTCCACGAATCCTGCGGCTGTCAATGACAACACAGAAAAGTCAGTTTGAAGAATTTGAGACAGACCACCGCCAATCGGCCTTCTTCTAATTGTGGTAATTATTCTTACAGCGGAGAGCCACAATCGAGAGCATGGAACAAGCAATTTACTAATAGAAATTATTAAATGTTAATTATCATCTGCATGTTATAGTAATTTCTTTATTGTATAGTGTTAAATTGTGGAAGTTGTGCCGAACTAAAAGAATTTCCAATTATGATAGTGGTTAGGTTACTTTGCAGATATTTTTTGAGTATTCGAGACTCGAGTGCATCTTATTTATTTCATTTCAGGTTTTGAAACCTGCTCATATTTTAAATGATTATGTGCCAGATTTTAACGAATACGTTGTAATTTGTGAATGCTATAAACGTAAGATTACTTTTTTCCGTTGTTATAAAGTTATAAATAAACGTAAAATTACCTTTTTGCTGTCACGAGATTGTTAAGAAGGTTTATGGAGTTCTGTACGTTCTTAACGTCGTTCATCACTGTAGACCTCCTTCCCTTGGTGCCGGAGATAGGCCCACACCCTCGTCTTTTAGCACTGTCACAAACAGAATAACAGTTTAACATCGTACGTTTCATATATAAACAGAAACTTAGTGTAACATCACAATATGTTACATGTAAAGAAGTCCGAATAAATATCTTCTATTTGGAAATTGTCTTACATCACTATAACATTAACTGTACTCATTTGATGAGGCCTATCATAGCAGATCATTTCTACAAGGATACAAGGTTTTATTTCTACCATTTATAGGAAGGAATTAAAGGGCTAAACTTTCTTATCTATTTATCGAACTAACCTTGAAGTTGAGCTAGAAGACGTTTTAAACCGTGAATCCCATCTGTTGTTGAACATCGTGTTAGAATCTGAGAGTAGAATGAACAATTGAAACACGTAGTTCGACGTACAGTCGGACAAAAACAAAATATATATTTGCTCAGAATATTTGCTATATTCGCTAATAATCTTCGCATGGAACTTTAAGAAGGAACACTCAGTGAGGTCAATAATGGAGGAACATCAGATCAAACTGTTCATGTTCATTTCAGAACTTGAAGGAATGTGTGTTACTAAGATGTAGCATAATATACGAATAATATTACGTGTAATCACTAATCAGTCATTCGCTATAATATCTAGTGTTAGAGTAAACTTACTATATGTGTCGTGTGTTTGTTGTGTGTACCTGTAAAATGGTATTAGAGTGTTTGGAAATTTCTAGATCTCACGGTGTCATGAAATGTTCATATGGCATATACCCATCGACCAAAGGGTAAAATCTATTTTAAAGTGGTGTATAAAGTAGAATGAACGATTGGTGCTATTATCTCATAGTTGTTACGTTCGTCGAAGAAATGCGAAAAGTTCGTCCAGTTCGGCACCTTTTAAAAATTCGTGAAAATTCGTGAAAATTCGTTGCGTAAATTTTCTTGGCATATGTTTTGATTTTATAATGAAGTGACCTGGCTGAACAAGATAATAGCCAACTCCTGAATTACTGGGGTCTCAGAACCGTACAATTGCCAATATTTAACAGGCTGATTATGGAACTTGGCAACCTCTGGCCTACTAAAGAGACCTCTACGTTGCCTGAAATGCAACATCTCACTCATAAAGTTTAAAGTTCGGTTAAAGTTCGTCTATTTCGTTAAAAAATTCGTCCAGTTCGGCACCTTTTTAAAGTTCGTCCAGGACGTCCGTAACAACTATGTATTATCTTGACGTTTGGAATATTTACCAATTTTGATTTCTCCTGAGCGTTGAAAAAGAGGTGAAGTCAGCAAATCCACGTGATGTGAACTCTACTTTGTGATAAACCTAATAAATAATTATACAGTAAAATCTTGTTAATTCAATTATTATCATACTAAATAAATGTATCTTAAGGAGCTGAAAGCTGTATTTACTAATAGTAATACTATCAACTAAGAAGAATAAAAAAGGGAAAATTCGGTATCATCCTAAATTGTAGCATTAGCAAGGTCTTACATGATTCTAGGTTCAAACTTCAACAGCAAAACATATAAATATATCGGAGACACCTAGTTAAATTAATCAGCACAATGCGCATTCAAGGTCAATGGTGAAACAAAAGATTGCAAAAAATCCTGCTAATTATTGATAATCAGACGGTCACGCTCCCACAATCAGACAAAGTGATTTACTCTGTAAATCCAGCCCAAAGATTGTCGGAGTAAATCGACAATTAGTGATAAAAGGATTTAACAAGACTACCGAGGAAAGTTCATTTCTCCATCCAGTGACATGAGCACAATGTCCTTATCTTGCAGATGGCGCCCAGAGAATCACTAATTGCAGGTTATATACCCGATATCAGGTTTAACAACACGACTGAAACTGGAAGTATAAATCTGGCCAATAGAAACTTGTGCAATGTTTTCCTTAGTGGCATGATGGTTCAAATGCCACCTTTCATTTGCTGATTTAGAAATGGCGCCATTCGTGTTTACTCTCTGTGACACTTAATAAAGAGTGCGCTACTTAAACCATATTAGTTTGGGTCCATCGGCTCAATCAACAACTCAATAGCTTCAATGGTGCCAAACTACAAAATTGATTGGTGCGAAATTCGTCGTGGTGCCATTACGAATTTGGCGTAAAATTGTAAAACTAAAGCAAATGAAGCCTGGAGTTACACCAAAAGTCAAGTTTTAGTTGACAAGGTAGTGTTTTGGCAAATGATCAATTATTGAGGAAAATGAACGGAATGACTTCTGTATAAATAGTTAAATTCACTTAAACGGAAGAATGTTGGAACGAGGTAAAGTTGAAATAACTTAATAAAAGGAACACATATCAATACTGGTGTACGTGTAGGAATACGATTAAAATATTTTAGTACTTTGAAAATCACCAGGAATTTCATTTTATTTCACTTCGTCCATTTTCTGTGGAGGTATTATCAAAAAATTAGGTCAAATTATGGCCGAGATAAAGGTGCGATGATCGGATCAAACCCTAACAATGGTGATCAAGAAGTGCCAGAATCTGGCGGGATCATCTTGTCTCAGGGCTAATCATTCAATTAAACGGGAGCTTTGCCAATTTCGTCCCATGAATGGTAAACTAATTTACTAAAATAACCCGAGATGGTAATTCTATCTGAGTATCCGTGGGGGGCCCGTTTCAAGAATACAGTGAGCCCAGCTAAAGTTCACAGCTTGTAATCATGTTAGGGACTTATCAAGTTGACGCTGCCATGACTTATCAATTTAAATTTGAGGGCAGTGAAGGGCATGTGCCAAACTTAGAGAATTTTTAATTTTTAATTATCTGATAACTTAATTATGGAGCTAATGACGGTCCATTTAGTGACAATATATATAACCTGTAAGTATAACTGCATCAGCATATAATTCAGAATAATTCGTCATTCGCGAATGTAATTGAAGTCTTATAATATTAAACACGGAGGTCATTTTCTAACTCTACTCGTTATAAATGGGCATAAAAATAATGTCTCTTTTCTTAAAGACGGAAAATGTGGTAAAAATGTGTACCGAATGAGAGGTCTCGTCCAGCTGCCAACGGCAAAAGATCTATCCAATGTAACTGCTCTCAATGATCGGCCCTAAAATTAAGCACGCCATGAATTGTTGATTGGCTGAAAATTTAAGCGGATAATTACGGGCTAATAGTAATATTACGGGCGCAACGGCAGTCTTCACCCACGTTTGAGCAGAGCAAAGTTTAGCAAATATGGTCGGCCAATCAAAAACCATCAATCAACGCTACAGTGCGAGCTGTAACAGCAAAAGGTTAATCGATGGATGTGATCTTGGAGAGAAATTTTACTTGTTATTGAAATCTGATAGTGTATTACTCATCCTTCGGGTTCGGTATCACAGTTTCATTAATACTCATATAACAAGCTATCAGATACCACATGTAATCGCGGTTATGGGTGCAAAATTGCACTATTGACCTAGTCTGCACCATGATCGGCCATTATTCGTTTAATCAGATTTATGTAATTCGACTTCAATCAATCTTTTAGCCTTTAAAAGAGAGGCTAAAAAGTTGGCGAATTGTTTAGCTCAATTACGGTGTTTTTTGTTTTCACATTTGCCGCACATTAAAAGTTTTAGGCAGGTTAGGAATTGCACATATATGTATAAAGTATATTGCTTCGGTATGCTATCTTTTATATGTTCTTAGATAGGGAATTCAATGTCAATTGTCACTGTACCAAACCACCCAGCTTCGGTTCCTAGTTCCGTTTATCTTTGTTTGACAAATAGCCATACATAACAAGGAAATTATTGAAAGTTTCTGTACAAGCAACAAGTTTGGAACGTCCTGTGTATAAAAGTATGAAGTTATATTATATATACTTTTGTGAATATCACAAGCCTCAACCCAGCTACTAAACTATGTGAGTATGTGAAGATGTGGTCAATACTACAGTTAATGAAGTAATGAGTCCAGCTACAGACTTAAATAATAGCACTGCACTGTACTCGTCTTACTCAACTACTTTTACATCGTACACAGCTCATTCAGAGTTTCATTTACACAGAATTGATCATTTTGATCTCTAGTTAACAACAAACTTTCGATTTTATCGCATGGGATTTTGTAATTGGCAACATAATTAAGACAAGTCATTTGTGCTTGTTTTAGTTTTACGACTCAAGACAGGAAAAAGTCCAGTTTTTCAAACGATTCAAGATTTTCCGAGTTTCATAAAACTGGTAGAAAACAAAATCAAACAAATATTTGTCCTGCCACCAACTATCCATGCTTCTATAGCCGTCATAGTATGACGTCGTGATAAGCATTGGCAGACTCTAACAAAACATGAAACCAAAAACACGATGTGAGCTTTAACCAACAAACCATGCAAAGAATCATGAAATAGTCAAACAGACTCATATTAACCTATCCTCTACGCCACTGTCACAACAAAAAACACGATATTTATTGCTTATTTATACAACTCATGACCTAGGAAATTGTTATAACTTAACGACCTGGTTAAGTTAATGAAAATAACTTAATTAATTTATATAATAACAGTTCACACAGACTCTGGACACCACAATATAAGAGCTTTGTAAAGAGAGTTAAAGTAATTGCTCTTATGGTGCAACTGCAAGTTAAAGTATGGTGATAAGAATATGATAATATTACAGATTAGCCAGGTGAGCGTTGACATGCGTGTAATTACTGTACCAGTGTACCAGTGTACCAGTGTACCAGTGTACCAGTGTACCAGTGTACCAGTGTACCAGTGTACCAGTGTACCAGTGTACCAGTGTACCAGTGTACCAGTGAGGAGTAGGGACAAGTGGGTTGATACTGTTCGCCAGATGCGCATACTTTAACCTTAAACCTTTACTATCTCAGTGTTTCTTCATGATCTTTATTCTTCAATTAGAGGATCTGTCCACATCCCCCCATTGTATTTGAGTCTGTCGTGTTTTGATATTTGTGCATTGTACTGGGGGTATAGCACATTGTACAGTAAAATCACAATTTACCGCGGAGTTTGTAGGAAAGCACATCTGAGGTGCTTTTTCTCAGGTGCTACTTCTCAGGCGCAATGTCTCAGGTGCTATTTCTCAGTTGGTACTGTCTAGTGTCTACCTGGTGCTGTTTTGCGGTAAATCAGGTTTTACTAGCCAGTACTACGAGGTTGTACAGTGTGTACAAACTAGAACCAGTGCATTAACCTCCCGAGACTGTCGAGTCAGCCAAAACCCGGTAAGGCCAAAACCTGATACTAATCTGATATGGCAGCACGCTCAGAGTTAGGAGAAGGTGGCACGGTTGTCACGTGACATTATTCTGAATACCATCCTGCTTCTCCTACCCCATTATCCTGCTTATCCTAGCTCATTATCCTGCTTCTCCTAGCTCATTATCCTGCTTCTCCTAGCTCATTATCCTGCTTCTCCTACCTCATTATCCTGCTTCAATTCCATCCTGCTTCTCCTACCCCATTATCCTGCTTATCCTAGCTCATTATCCTGCTTCTCCTACCTCATTATCCTGCTTCAATTCTCCTAGCTCATTATTCTGCTTCTCCTAGCTCATTATTCTGCTTCTCCTAGCTCATTATTCTGCTTATCCTAGCTCATTATCCTGCTTCTCCTAGCTCATTATCCTGCTTCTCCTAGCTCATTATCCTGCTTCTCCTAGCTCATTATCCTGCTTCTCCTACCTCATTATCCTGCTTCTCCTAGCTCATTATCCTGCTTCTCCTAGCTCATTATCCTGCTTCAATTCTCCTAGCTCATTATCCTGCTTCTCCTAGCTCATTATCCTGCTTCAATTCTCCTAGCTCATTATCCTGCTTCTCCTAGCTCATTATCCTGCTTCTCCTACCTCATTATCCTGCTTCTCCTAGCTCATTATCCTGCTTCTCCTAGCTCATTATCCTGCTTCAATTCTCCTAGCTCATTATCCTGCTTCTCCTAGCTCATTATCCTGCTTCAATTCTCCTAGCTCATTATCCTGCTTCTCCTAGCTCATTATCCTGCTTCTCCTAGCTCATTATCCTGCTTCTCCTAGCTCATTATCCTGCTTCTCCTAGCTCATTATCCTGCTTCTCCTAGCTCATTATCCTGCTTCTCCTAGCTCATTATCCTGCTTCTCCTAGCTCATTATCCTGCTTCTCCTAGCTCATTATCCTGCTTCTCCTACCTCATTATCCTGCTTCTCCTAGCTCATTATCCTGCTTCTCCTAGCTCATTATTCTGCTTCTCCTAGCTCATTATTCTGCTTCTCCTAGCTCATTATTCTGTGTTTCCTGCATCGCAACTTGATTTATTTTCGATGTAACTTAATTCTAACATTCCCGTTAGTGTAATGGTGTCGAAATGTTTTGTACTGAATTATTTTAATAACTGATTAACTGTACAGCTACAATCCTGTTCCTAAATATGTAGATATGAGTAGAGGTATTGAGTAGAGGTATTCACAATATTGAGTGCAGAGTATGCGGAGTATTTGTGTGCTGCGCAGGAAGTTATTGTTTAGTTAAGGTGACCGCGTGAGTACCAGTTGCGTGTGTTGCACTGTTTTAGTTGTGCACATTGTTGTTGTAGTTACCTGGGGACCTCAGGCTATCATGTTCATAAATTAGGCGGAATGACAGGCTGAGCGCGGCCCAGTACATAATGTTGTAGATGTTTTGAGTTGCCGTATACTGTTCAGAGTTTGGTTGCTTAACTACTATTCAGAACAATTTCGATTCGTAAATGCTTACTTTGCTTATAATTGTAATAGTATGCTGGCTGATATAATAGTATTATTAATACATCAGCTAATATAATATATGTAACATATTCGAAGGAGGAATTGTCAGATTCAGGATTAACTTTGTGATTGCCCGACTGGCGCTGGGACTATCACCTCAAACCCGAGGAACTTGATTAACTTTACATTATGAATCTATAACGTCATTGGTTACTCTTAATTAAGTTTAATTCAAAGTAATAACTTAATTAATAATGCTAAATGTTTCCAACAGTGACATCAAAATCACATTATACAATTGCTAGATGAATATATCTTTTAATCGTAACGTTTGAGGATTTGTCGTGGAAAAGATAACACCCTCGATTTTGTTTTTGTTTGATCCCGTCTTCACTTTCTACTGGAAAATAATCGCGCCATTGGTCAATTGCTGTATTTTAATTTACAATTCAAACGATTTACCGCAGTTACAAGGTGACGTAATTTTAATTAAATATTTCAAACCAGACATTAATTTCACGGACCACTAGTCCAGTAATGGGCACTGATCAGTGTTATCCTAAATAAATACATAATGCAGTTAGTTGGAAGTAGCACTTCTACTTATTGGTAACAAACGTGAACCATCCAATTAAAGATGAACTACCAGAGAACACAAATGGAATCTTGCTGAGTACCTGATAAGTACAGGTTTATCAAACGCAAAGGCGGGTAAACAGTTGGCTACTACCTCATACCACCACTATACTGATTACAGGGCTAGACCCTGTAGCTTTGTTGTGCTAAACACATCGTGAGGCAGCACGTATTGTCGTGCTAAACGAGAGACGGTATGCACCTCCTAGCTATGTGTTATCATGGCAGCACGTATTGTCGTGCTAAACAGCGCGGATTGTCGTGAGACAGCACGAGAGACGGTATGCACCTCCTAGCTATGTGTTATCATGGCAGCACGTATTGTCGTGCTAAACAGCGCGGATTGTCGTGCTAAACGAGAGACGGTATGCACCTCCTAGCTATGTGTTATCATGTAAGAGCCTGCTAATCAGGAACATGGTGAGCTTACCTGTGTTACTTCTGTTGTTTTCTCCACCGAGTGAGGGACACTGTGAGAGGTAATGTCATTCCCTGCCACGCTGTAGCTCTGCTTCCTTTCTGTAGTCACCTGTAGTCACTAATCTCCAGATGTAGTCACCTGCTGTAGTCACTAATATCCAAGTGTAGTCACCTGCTGTAGTCACTAATCTCCAAGTGTAGTCACCTGCTGTAGTCACTAATCTCCAAGTGTAGTCACCTGCTGTAGTCACTAATCTCCACTCCCAAGGTACCTCACAACTATGTTATTTAACACCAGTTTATACTGTTTTATCACTAGTAGTGTGCTATAAATGTCACTATTGTAAGTTGATTACTATCCACTATCCAGTCTCCGTTGTCTACAGACCAGGCCGTCTTGTAATCTCGTTATTCTGCACTGTGTATTAGAGCAGCGCTGTCTTTTTTTTACTTTCACCTGAAAATAATTCACTTACTAACACGTGCAATACTTACAGGACTTCAAACTAATGCACGTGTAAGCGTATCAGTTTGAAGTAGCGACTTATAGTAATTGTAGTACTAGTAGCTATCGTTTACCGAAACTTATTAGCTTACCCTGCACTGTAAGTTTACAATTATATCCATTACTTAGCTACATTGATAATTAAATAATTTAAGATGCTCCTTTAGATCATTAAGGTCACGTGTAAGATCACGTGTAAGCTGAGACAATGGTAGTTTAAATTCTGCTACTCATCTACCATGATACCATCATGACTCGTGTTTTCTTTATAGTTTTGTTAAATTTATTGTTATTTTAAATTTAAACGTGCCAACATAGGTGACAGTTCCTCGGTAATTAGCGCGTGTTTTAATGGGTAACATTCCTTTTGCAACATACCTTTGTAAATTCCACTGTCTGTTTATTTGTTTTATACCCAACTCGGTTAACTGGTACACTTTTGATCTACGTTTATTGATGATAATATAGTACCGATAGTTTTTAAATAGTATTAAAATGTACACCAGGAAATGATTATTATTTGCAGACAGTGTTCAGTTAACTGTAAAGCTGAGTACAGCTATAATATCTTGAATCTTGATCTTATAGATTCTCTTCTCGTTTATTCGACTCAACGAAAAGCGTAACGTTTTTGTTACATATTATCTTGTCATATGATTTTCAGGAATATTCAGTTTTGTTTGTTAGGGTTCGAGTTATAGGCTAAAGTTTGGTCGACTGTCGAGTAATAAAATGTGTTTATTTTGGTTTTCGTTGCTATTATGTTTATATATGTTTATTGTTTATTCAAGAAATGTGACCGGTTGAGACAACATATGACGTATCTGTTTGTTTTAAAACTGTTATTTTAAATGTTTTCTCCGAACGAGTCTTGCATGCGACAATTATTGTTGTTGGGATCACCATACAATTGACCATACTTTGAGAGTATAAGATGCATTACGTATTACCTTCACTGGAGAGTTGTTGTTGAACCCTGTATCTGTTATATGTGGTAATGCGTGGCACGTACTACGAGCAAGCTATTGCTTAATATTTATTAATACTTTGATGAGCTGTGTCGACAGTCTTCATTTACGTTTGATCGACTATCTGTCTTGATTTACTTACGATCAGCAATCTGTCTTCATTAACTTACGATCAACAATCTGTCTTTTATAGTTTAAGATTCATGTTGTGAGTCTCAAACACAATTGTACCCACAGTCCTTGCCAGTGTAGTTGAACTTGTGTAGCTGAACTTGTTAAAGCCTCATTGGATAGTTGACTGATTGTACGTATCGGTTAATACATCTAACTGCAAACATTGCTTTTATTGGCTTGATGGTGCATATACTGCATAGTGCATATCAACTTGACGGTGCATATAGTGCATATTGGCTTGACAGTGCATGTAGTGCAATCAATTATTCGGAGATTTAGTCCCGATTCATTTAGCGAAATTGAAATGACAAGATCTGTTCAGTTTCTGAAGAAAATAAAAAAAGATTCTTTATACATGATTTACTATCCGTGTACACCGTGCTGAAAATACAGCGGATCATTAGTGAGCAGGCGGTGTACAAGTGCCTGGGTGAAAACACTAAAGACCGTGCTATAAATTTGTCACTTATATAGAAATATAATACCATGTTACACACCTCCACAGAGCTATAACTACAGATTTACCAGGGATCACATTGGTAAGCATTAGCGCCGAGGTAGGTACGTCCCTTTCTCTGTGTGTATCCCGCGTAGCCATGGTTATCATGCTGTTATTCTTCCCTTGTTGTCTACAGGAATTCCTTGTTATAGTTTGTCAGGAATTACTCTATTCTTTCAACCACTATGAGTACGATGGGTGATGGTGATTCTAGCTCCTATACATTTATATTTTACATTAGTTTATTTCTGCTAATATAACGTTATAAGCTTATTTTGGTTTCATTTCAGCTACTCAAAGCTTTTTTGTACGCTCAGATTGCACACAATGCGTTATGCCTGGTGCTCCTGCCCGCTCTCCCCTTTCTTAAGTTCATTCTTTTGTTCAGCGTGCCGTCCCTCTTTCTTCGCGCTTGTTTCTTTTTTCCCTTCCCTCTCTTCTCATTGCACAACCCTGTCATTTCCTATCAACAGCTCCTAGTGGCGCCTTATCTTTTCTCTCCGTAGCTCATTTAAATTAATTGCCACCTTTCAACCATACATTTTATTTAATCTTACTCCTGAGACACTGATCACTACACGACTAAATGGGCTCTAAAATTTGACAATTATTTTTTAATGATAGTTTAATTTAAATTAATGATAATCTAATGTAATTTAACAATATTATTTTATTGATACCAGACATATCCTCATAGTGTTCATTTGACATATTGTCATTCATTTCTAATTTCTCCTCACACTAACCACCTTATAACAGAGTAGCAAACATGGTTGTAGAACTTAAGAATGTGGCGGAGTTTGACAGTTTGGTTATCCAAGGTTCAGCTGACAACCAGCTCGTTGTGGTGGACTTCTCTGCTGAGTGGTGCCCTCCGTGCAAAATGTGAGTTTGGTTTTATAAAAGTAATTACAACACTACAACTAATTACAACACTATTTTAATGTTGCCATGGGGTGGCAAGTCCCAATTCATCGTAGTCCGATAGTGCAAAATGTGAGTTTGGTTTTGTATGTGGTGTTTTCAAAGAGACTGTCATGTTTTCAAAAGGGTGTAATTCCCGTGACATATGATATTTATAAAGGGATCCTAGATCCCTGTATACTGTATAGCTGTATGAATGCTTTACGTACACCTCCAATACTGCGCACTTTTTGTGCACTGTCTGCGCACTTTTTGTGCACTGTCTGTACACTGTCTATGCACTGTTTGTGCATACCTTACTCGGGATTATTACGGCGGGTTTATTAACGACCGGTTAAAATATGGTTCGGGAAAAATATGGCGAAATTGCTCAAAACCCACCACATTTTCCCGGTCGCCATTTTACCGGTGTCCAAACTTTCAATTTTAGATTCAAAAATTTTGTCTCAGATGTAAATTTCCTTATTAGAGATACTGATAAGCAAGTTTAGAAATTTTCGCATTGCTAAAACTTGTGAAACAAGTCGAATTATCAATAATTGTTGAAAATAGACAGAATTTCGTCGAGCTGGTATTTTAGAGGCAATTAATTACACGCAATTCCCTGAACAGGATTCCTTTAAGGACTTATAAACTTGTGGACTATTGATAGTGAGATTGTTGTTACTTATAGGAATTTTTTGTGATCCCCTTTCTGCTGGTAGTAACGTGTTGGTAGTCTAGCACTCTAGCAAATTCGTTGTTTTGAATTAGCATTAAATGTTTACGTTTATCAAATTTACCGTTTATCAAATAACCATCAAATAACCATGGGCAAAAAGGTTAATTTTTTGCAATTTTAGCCAAATGAAGTCGAAAAACCTACAACAAGTGTCCCAATAGTCTTCTTTAGTGAATATAAGACAACGATTAAAATATGAGCACCCATACCCCTTGGGAACCCTAAAAGCTGAGACGGCGGGTTTATTAACGACCGGTGAAAATGTGGTTCGGGAAAAATATGGCGAAATTACCCTAAACCCGCCACTTTATCCCGGTCATAATAATCCCGAGTAAGGTATTCTAGATTTAACTGTCATTACTTTCAGGATCGCACCAAAATACGAAGCGTTATCTAAAAAAGAGACCTCTGTTAAATTCTACAAGGTTGATGTGGATGTTGCTGATGATGTATCTCAGAAAGCTGGGATATCGTAAGTTTTACAACGGCCATCTAATAATTAGACAGGACTTTGTTGAATTTTATATCATGATTCCGTCAAATGATTGATCAGTTATAAGTCTGAGATTTGACATGTTCTAGGTGCTTCCAGGGGCAGGGGTTGAAATAGTTTCTGCATATTATATAATCTTATAATCAATCTCGGATAATTTGATTAACTTGATGAATACACTCCCGCCTACTTTCTACAAAAGTGACAGGCTACATTTTTATTTATTCATATCTCTTCAAAAGTGACATTTTTATTTATTCATATTTATCACCCACTTCAGATGCATGCCTACCTTCAAGTTTTACAAGAATGGAGAGTGTGTAGAAACACTCGAAGGAGCGTCTGAGGATAAGTTAAAGGCTCTTGTTGCAAAGCATAAATAGATAATTGCTTTGAAATATCCTTAAGAAACACTATTACTGTTACACAATATTTTTGAGATGAAAAGTTGTAGTTTGGAATTTTGTGTTAGCATATTTTGTAAATGATTGCAGCACAATTTTTAGATGCATTTTTCGCAATGTTCCATTTTAATAATGGATTTTGCGGCGATTTAATTTCCTTATTATTATTATTATGACTATAACCTACAAAGTTGTACTTGTATATATACCTACCTATTATTGTTTGTTCATTAATTGATAATTGGATGTTTTATATTTGTTAATCAGCCATATGTGAGATAATTAGACTCGAGAAAATCAACAGAAGGATCTTAACTGAAGATTTAGCGGAATTACTGAATTAGCCATTATATAATAATCGTGGACAAGCTCTGACCTTTAGGGTGGGTACATTTTACCAACCCATCAGTCACAACGGATACATTTTGGGTTTGATTTTACTGGGCCGCGCTCAGCCTGTCATTCCGCCAAATCTTTATTATGTTAATGAACATAATAGCCTGGGGTCCTCAGGTAAGGTTTGATTGTAAATACTTAGAAATTGTGGTTATGATCTTAACAATGAGCTATCTTTAACGTTATATGAGAATCAATTATCACCGAATAATCACAAAAAATAACGTTTTTCTGTGATGAGGCAAGATTTCGACAAAGTCTTTAATTAAGTTGGTAATTTTTCTATGTTAGATTGTGTTAAACTTACCCTTAGCAAGTACTTGACGAGCAGATAAAGTGACTTCAACGCAACCAATACAAACAAAGATATAAAACCTAATGTTTATGATCCATGTAATGTCTATACTAAAGTAAAAGCCACAAATATTCAGCGATAAAATGCAAGCACATAACGAATCAATTAACGAATCTACTAGTATACTGTTTTGTAAGGAAAAGTCTTCAGTTACAATATTCGTACAATCTGCAGTGGTCACCATGATAATATATCCGTTGGGGTTTTAATGTGAAGGTAGATGTTTAACAAGCTTTCAGCTTCCTGGTGAATTGGCTAGGGAGGGTCAAGGGAGTTGTTTGTAGCGCGATGCACTACTGGGTCGCGCGCGCATCAAATAATGCTTCTCGCAACCACAGATCGGCGAGATGCGAAGGATTGACATCGTCAATCAAGGGAGTTGTTGGACGGATTCCTTTTTAAGGGCGAGCAACGTTGATGGCGGGTTTTTTGGAAGCAATCTCGATCTATTGGAAATTCTTTTCCATGTCGTTACCGCTTTAGGGAACAGTGAGGTGGAATTATTATAGAGGTTCATATCTTAGATTACCATAAAAATGACCATAACTACGATGGTTAGACTTAGAGAGTCCTTTGCTTTTTAAGTAATAATCCGTTGTTAATAAAATCCGTTTTGATCATTTTATTCCCAAAATTGCTGCTTAAAACTCGTTTAATCGGCTCTAACATTGTTATAACGTGGCAAAATGTTTTCTCTGAGACCAACAGACCAAAACCCTAATACTCTACGTTAATAACTTACTCCTACCTAGCCGAATCCCTAACCCAAGCAAATACCCAAACCCTAACTCTAACAAGAAATTTGACCTGCTTCATTATATGAGTATGAGTATGACCATTACCATATCACGTGATCGAAACAGTTTCTCGCTGGTATCTAAACTTGTAAGGGAAACATTTTTACCCTATGTCAGTATGTTATGTGGGGTGATTCTTAAATAACGTTCAAGAATACGTTGATTAAGTTGATTTCAACTGCCGGCGGCTCATATTTAGAAAAATCGCGGCATCCGAGCGTGATTAAACACGCTTAGATATGCTACGATCTAGTCTCTTTAGTCTTAAGAGAGAAAAAGTATCAGTGTGAAGGATTACTTATAAGTCCGGATTCTGGGCGTGGAATTCGAACCGTGCATTCCATAAAACGGGCATTTATAGTTGGCATCTTGTCTTTGTTCTAGTTATGGAATTTAAACATTGGTCTTAAATTCCAATTCCATCTCGTACTCCATTTTTCCATATTTCGGCAAGCTGCTGTGAAATGGTTAATTATGCATCAAGTTATGTATGAGCTACCACTAAACCAGCCACCAGGTACCAAGTTTTTAGAATTAAATCCGAGAAGAGCCGCCAGTCACTCCACATTATACACAATTATAGCCCATGCAATGTTATTCAACAGTCAAACGTCATATTTTGAATTGCCCACATGGCGATCATACCGTCGACGTGAGCGTCATGGTTGCATTCTCGAACCAGACACGACTGTGTACATTAGCTCGAGTCAACATCTTATTTGCGTCAAAATCTTGACTGGATCATTAGGGACCACATGAAAAGAGCTCAGAGTCAGAGCACAGTGTCCATTAGTAATCAGAGCACCATGTCTCGTCATTCATCGGCAGGGCTCGTATATCAGGGACAAAAGGAAATCGCGGCATGTACGGAATCGCGATTTTTCCCATTATTTGCGACAAATTTTATGTATAGTTTAATGTATAGGCTGTTAAATTTCGCGGTATCGCGATTTTTGCCAAAATAATCGCGAAATCCTTTAGTCCCTGTCGTATATGCGATTGAATGTTTCAAAAATCTTCTAAACACACTAAAATGCTTTTAAGATTATTTTAAGGAAGGACTTAAAATAAAAGGGAGGGAAACAACTTCTTCTCCCATTTACTAAACTACTTTCACTCAAATCACAACATTTGATGAGGTGTGTCCTATTCTTCCTCTTCTTCTCAAATGGTCGCCAGGTTTTGGCTTACCGCTTAAGATCGGGCTCCTCATCGGGTCCTCAGAAAGCTAGAAATGAACTAGCTCACCTCAAGGACTCCCAAAAATATAAGTCTAACCAAACGATAGAACTGGAACAGATCTCGGGAGTCTGGGAGAGCTGTTGCAAACTCAAAGAGAAGACAGGGACCTTTTCTACGGCCAACTCCTGCTGGGTACGTTAATTAGGACGTTCATTCCTTGTGAATTCAATATCCTTCCTAGTTCCTATGCCGGAGACCTGGGTGTCCGTGATAGATTTGGTAGATTTTAACCAAATTACAAACCCTCTTTGTCAAAACGTGTTTAATGTAGCTGATAATTGAACTTGAAGCTACATTAAGTTACCAGTTCCTTTATTCATATTGCGAAAGTTGGTTGAGCAACTGAGTACTAAAATATTTGGCCACATGGAAATGTTTGCTTTTTCTCCAGCACGTTATTTTCCTCCAGTAATTAAGACACAAGCTGGTCATGAAGCACTTGGTGATTGGTGTCTCATAAAGGCGTGCCAAGACCAATGATTAAAGACACAAGCTGGTCATGAAGCACTTGGTGATTGGTGTCTATAAAGGCGTGCCAAGACCAATGATTAAACGCGAACGAAGGGAGTCTTCATCACAGAAAAATGTGCAGACTACAATCTATTCTTCAATATATTCTTCAATCTATTTGTGGATCTAACACAGCTTACTTATTTTGATAACGGCAGGATGATGTTTGCATTGACAACTTTACTAGCAGTGGTGGGACTGGTGGCCGGTGATGGGGTGGGACACAACAAGCTTATCAACTTCCCTGCAGCCTCCACTGGCAATTACATCAGCTACAAGACTGATCTACCAGCAATGACTGGATTCACCGTGTGTGCCTGGCAGCAGAAGAGCTACTCCGATGATAAAAGATACTGGTTCAGCTACGCAGTCTCAGGATCAACCAACGAGATTCTCATGGGAGAGAGAGAAAAGGGAGTCTACGTCTTCTACTTTGCTGGAAGCAACTTTGGAGCTAACGTGGGGAGTTTAGAGAACCAGTGGGTGCACATCTGTGCAGCCTGGGACTCAGAAAGTGGAGTAGCTGTCATCAGTGTCAACGGAGAAGCAGCAGGGACTCAAGAGAACTTTAAGAAGGGCGCTAGCGTGAAACCAGCGGGTAACTTGGTTATCGGGCAAGATCAGGATTCTGTAGGAGGAGGCTTCGACGCTAGCCAAGCCTACACTGGCAGACTTTACAATATCAACATGTGGAACTACGCTCTCAACTCGACTGAAGTGTCCTTCCTTTACGAGACAGGTCTTTGTGGATTCGGATCCACTGAGGAGGACCCCATCATCTCTTATGCTGATATTCTGGGCCAGGATATGACAGGAGATTTGGCTGTTGTTGATGGGCTCTGCATTGACCTTGAGGATCCAAGCGAAGGCCAAATCATGAGGTTCCCTCCACAGTCGAAAGCTAGCATAAAAAACTTTTTGCAGTTCACTCCCAACTTCGAAGACGAGCTCGCAGAGTTCTCCATCTGCACCTGGTTCTTCAAGACATACGGAGACCAGTCAAGGTACTTCCTGAGCTACGCAGTTGCAGGTATGGATAATTCCATCATCCTAGGCGAACAGGCCACACTGGGCTTCTGGGTAAGCGGAGGGAAACTCCTGACCGACATTTTACTAGACCAGCAAACTTGGTACCACCTTTGTTTCACATGGGCTTCAGACAGTGGTGCTGCGATCTACGTGGACGGGGCCAAGGTAAAAGAAGGTGCTCTAGCGACGGGAAAGACACAGAAGGCTGGTGGTGTAATGAATGTGGGGCAGGAGCAGGACTCAGTTGGAGGAGGTTACGATGCAAACCAGGCTTTCGCAGGGAGTCTGTACAACCTGAACATGTTCCGATCAAAGCTGAGCGATGATCAGGTGACAAAGCTTTACGCTGAAGGAACTTTCTGTGAGAAGATTCCAGAAGAGATGTGGGAGGCTGGAGCAGTTATGGTGGCCTACAAGGACTTTTTCAGTCTCATTCCTGACGGAGATGTTGTGTTTGACAGTGGGGAGGCAGCTTGGAGACACGGTGCTATCCACTGTGGAGGAGATGATCTGGACGTGGACGCTCACAAACCAGACTGCTGGAAAATTGAGGAGAACATCAGGTATAAGGACAGCGGAAGTTTGGGATATATTGTGGGGGATCTGGATGCAGCTAAGGCAGCGTGTTACGCTTACGGTAAGTGTAAAACACTGACGTGCTCTGATAAGGATGGTGACGGTGTACTGAAGTGTGAGATGAAGGAATCGTTTGAGAAGGCAAAGAAGGACAAGAAGAGGACATCATATACTTACAGATGTTAAATCTGAGAAAATAGAGGAAAACACATCGCAGTTGTTGTTGACTACTAACTGTTTAATCTTTGGAGACTTTTCAAATCTAAATTTCTTCTTATGATTATGAATGTACTTTGATTTTTGAACTATTTTAACCCTAGAACAGCCATTGAAAAAGTACACACCTGGTTTCATTGAACTTTATTTCAAAAATGACGTTTTAAATAAAATGACGAACTTCACAAAAAGTAAAGTCTAGTCTCAACAGGTAAAACTAAAAATTTAGTAGTGGAACAGCAATACTAAGGTAATGGGACTACTGCGGACCCTCTACCGGCCAAACCTTGTTAACAAAGCCGCAGTCAAGGTTCGGTGAACGGTAGTTAAAAGCGCTTAACTACTTCCACTACTAAAGAAATAATCCCGATAACACTCAACCTCTGCCTGATCCAGAGGATATCACCATTTTACCTTCACACAGAAATCGAACGCTGTAAGAAGATGACGATCAGACCTCATTAAAACTAAAAATTAAAACAAATAAATAAATTATAGAATTTGCATGCTTCGAAACGGACAATCAAGAAATATAAGTGTTTTGAAATTGTGTGGAAAGTATCATCCAGGAAACCTACCCTCTGAATAGTTATTAGTATTTTATTTAGAAATGAGGTATACTGAAAAAAAAATTTACCCCAACCTGTAAGGAACCTATAAAATATGGGTGTGGCCGGAGGGTAGTCGGAGGGTAGACAAGATGGTCGAGTTGGAAAAGGAACTTTAATTTTTT